GGAGCCAGAGGCAGACGCATGCGGGGGCGCCGCCTATAATGTTGGTGGTACAGCCTACGGTGGTGGAGCTGCCTACGGTGCTCCCCGAGACACGCCCACGAAGTGGACGTTACGGCAGCTCGCTGGCAGGTGTGCCGCGTGTCCCGAGCGCGTGCGGAGAATGGAAGGTCCGTCATCGGGAGGCAGGAGTCTGCCGGTCGGTGGTGCTGGACCCTCTTCCACGAAGGCCACGCCGGTCGGTGGTGCTGGACCATCTTCCACGAAGGCCACGCCGGTCGGTGGTGCTGGACCATCTTCCACGAAGGCCACGCCGGTCGGTGGTGCTGGACCATCTTCCACGAAGGCCACGCCGGTCGGTGGTGCTGGACCATCTTCCACGAAGGCCACGCCGGTCGGTGGTGCTGGACCATCTTCCACGAAGGCCACGGTCGACAGACACGGTGTCCTGGCGAGTGCCGCGGTCGACGGTGAGGGTCTTCTCTGCGGCTCACTACCAGGAGAGGACCGTCGGAGGGGCACGACAACGGCGGCTTCACAGCTTCGTGCCGGAAAAAATACGTGTGACACGTCCGCGATCGCGTGTGGAGCGCGACTGCGCTTCGGTCGATCGCCGGGGCGTTGTCGCTCGCTGAGGCGTCGTCGACCGCAGCGTCTGCACCGTGCGGTGCAGGTGGGCGTTGTGCGAGGCCGCGGCTGGTGCCTGGGCGGTCCGCGCTGAGTGGAAGAACTCGCCCGGCAGGCGGAGTGGCGAGCCGTAGACGAGGTCGGCGGCTCTGCGCTGGAGGTCGGTCTTGAGCGCTGACCGGATGCCAAGCAGCACCAGCGCCAGGACGTCCGTCTACTGGGGCGTGGCTGTGCAGCGCAGGGCCGTCTTGATCTGCCGGTGCATCCGCTCGACGAGGCCGTTCGATTGAAGGTGATAGCTGGTCGTGCGGACATGTAAACAGTTCAGGAGCGCGGTCAGCTCAGCCCACAACGCCGACTGGAACTGCCCGCCACGGTCAATGATGGTGAGACTGGGTATCCCGAACCGGGCGACACATCCTGCGATGAAAGCGCGGGCGACGGGGGCTGCATTCATGTCACGGATCGGCAGCGTCTCTAGCCAGCGGGTGAGCCGGTCGAAAAGGGTCAACAGGTGGGCGTGGCCGTCGCTGGGCGGCAGAGGTCCCACGATGTCCACGTGGACGTGGGCGAACCAGTCACTGGACGGGGCGTACACGCCCACAGGTGAGCGTTTGTGTCGTTGCACCTTTGCATGCTGGCACGTCTGGTAAGTTTGGGTTCGCTTCCGCTAGTGTCTCCTGCCAGCGTGCCAGATGAGCCGGCTGGTGTGTGTAGAGCGTATAGCGGATGTGCTACCAACGTACTTTCGTGGGGGCTGAATCCGGCTCACTTTTCCATAGTCCGGTCATCTGCTGGTAAAATGTTGTACTTATATCCACCGCCCGCAGAATGGTGAATCTGACTAACCTCTGACATTGTAGCCTATAAAAAACATTGTTCGGAAGAGCCTAGTGTCATCAGTGGGGCATGTGTTCGTGGATGAGAAGGGGAAACAAACTAAATTTCGAAGCCACCCGCGTTACGTCCTGTGTTGCTGAGATTCAAATGGCAGTGTGGCTGGTTTCGATTGGTTCGTTCGGCTGTCCATACTCGTTGCATGCGCAGTGTGAGGTTTGCATGTTGGGTTGCTGTGCGAGAGGCTGTGTTTTTTTTCGTTCGTGCCGGCCCTCTGGCTGCGGAGATTTCTTGATCACGGAGAAGGGCGCCAGAAAACAACAAAGTACAAAACGGGACTGTCGGAGCGCTTAGGTCAACCAAGTTTGCGCTACCACAGCAGATATTTGGGAATACTAACCTTTGACCCCACATGATCGGGTCATAACGCTTATTGCCGACCACGAGATGTTGAGGTCAATGCACTGGTGCTTTCCGCTAAGCTCTATCTTCAGTGGTTTGGAACCAGCGGAGGGATCGCGTCTCCCCCCGTCCCAACAGCCCGCGTTATGAAAAAGACGAGACCCCGAAAGTCTGGGGCCTCTTACGCTGGTCGAGGCTCTCTGACAATGAAAGTGGAAGTTAGCGTTTACGATATGAGTCCACAATGCGACAATGGAAGGCCCTTTGTCAGGCAGCGCTTCAATACCGAACGGAGGGCCCTCTATCCCGTTTCAGCCAGGGGTCCGTTATGCCGAACCATAGTCTCCATGCCAATTATTGGACGCCTGTGACGATGAGGAATCTTTGCATAAATTAGGAACCCCGCGTTTATCTGGGGACAAATAGCTGGATCAGGGGGTCTCCGGCGTCAGGGAGGCGACCAATGTATGACATATCGCCCTTAGTCCGTCCCGGTAGCTCAGTTGGTTAGAGCGCCTGCCTTCCGATCCACCCACCCGTGGCGGGGTGGGTTCGAGTCGCTTTAGGGCGCTCGCTATTTGCCCTTGACAGGTATGGCCTGCGGCCAGTGGCGGCGGTCGCGCTAAAGGTCAGTTGACGTCAGAGGACAGGACGGACCGTGCCGAGCATTGCGGCACGTTAAGCTTTCGCCACAAAATTCTGCCGTTGACATGGAATTGCGCGATCGGATGTTAGGGGCCAGGGCGCACACAACAAGCACTGCTTAGCGTGAGCTCTGATCCCTGAAATCCATTCATTCAAAGGGTTCGGATCAAATCTTTAAAAAAGGGTTTCCGTATCGACCGGGGGATCCGCCCCTGTGTCACCAACATGATAGCCGGCAAGCACCCCAAGCTATAACCAAATGACCCTCAAGTCCCCGACCGGGAAGTATAATGTGCCCCTATTGGTTTACTACCCACAAGGTTCCTTGCTCTGAAAAGGCAATGGCTTTCCTCAATGTTCAATAGGGTACATCATAATAAGGTCAAAAATGGAAAAGGAGACAAGGCGTCCATCCTTGTTCAGGATCAACACGCGAAACAAATCACGTAAAACAGTTTTGAGCCTGCGTTCTCTGCCTGCCTGTACTCTGCCTGTAACCTGCGTACAATCTTAGGGGCAAGATTACCAGTGGTCAGGGTTACAGTTCCATGAGACCGAGCGGTGTTGGCCACGGCAGCTAACACCGCGTGGTGCGGGCGTCTGGCGCCCGAAAACAGCGGGCGTAAAAAAATGCTTTCAAAGGTCTTTTAAAATGAATTCGCACCGCTCCGAAATTGGACTGCGGTGTCTATACAGCTTGCAGAACTTTGAGGTTTTCCTCTGAGGAGATAAACAGCGAGAGCAACACGAAAATGGAGATTCTACTTTTACTGGACTAGTTCTATCATCGAACACAGCACCAGTTCGCGGTGCTTTGAATGCTAATCCGTTTCCATTATCGATCCCAAAATTGTACAGCTGAAAAATACTACTTTATAAGCGTTCCAATTAACATCCTAAGCCGACCAATGGTACTTTATTCAGTAACGTTGTTTTCGTCCGCCCGTTGGCTACCGCCAAGTGTTAGACACATGACCGGCGCGGCGCGGCTTTTGGAGACTGTAATGCCGGGCGTCGGGGTTTTTGTTGTAAGACTTGCGAGCGCGCATTGCCAGAACTGTGGCATGACTCTTCCACTACTGGATTCTGAACAAAGGTGATCATTCTGGGACCAAAACGGATTGATGTGAACGCAGATTTACCACCCTATTTTGATCCGAGATCTACGTTCACGACGTCCCTGCACACCCCAGAAAAAGTCCGGCAGTCCCCAAGTGCTCTCGGCTCAGAGTCCACCGAAATATTGAAAAATGAATAGCACCGGTGGTTTATTGACCGCAGCGATCTACCACGTGCTTCCTGCAGTTTATAGATTTCAAAATACACAGAATTGCATCTATCGGTGTCTCCTGGATTTAAAGGACAGTGCTCCCCTCGAAACCAAGTGGGCATTATCCGGTGACTTCTTTTTGGGGGCGGGGATCTTTCATCAGGGTGGGGAGCGTGGGGGGGGGGGGGCTTTATAAACCGTGTCCGACCCACCGATTACCCAGACTTCGCTTCTGCCCTTGTGTGGGTGACCTCATTAAGCACTGAATGCGCTCAAGATGTAATTATAGTCTCATGATAATTGAAGAGCCAGCTCAACTAACAACGCTGTTACAATCAACCTGCATTGCGCATGAAATTATTATGACGGGTGTTTAATTTTTCACACGTTCGAAGTGAAACGGGTAAGGATTGCTTTCCCTTCAGAGGCGCAACAGCTTGGAGGTACAACAGTCACCCATACGTACATATGGCTTCCCATTCGTGTTTATTGAAAAGAACGGAGAAGAGGGATTATCAACGGAAGGGCATCTGTCTAAAACGTGTTTGAGCAAATACCGAAGACCATGCGGTTCCTGGCATCACTGCGAAGACGTAACCCGGACACTATTAATTGTAACCGGCGTTTTGTGACATGCGAGAACGCCGTTGCTTTAAGTACGTAGCGCGTATAACCCAAGTAGCATTGCTGCCCCAGTTCGGTGCCCAAATCGTAGTCCTTGCCTCAATTCGGCATCCAAGTCGTAGTCCTGCGTACAAGCATGTTAATGGTGGCGCGCACGGGCACGTGCATCGTGCACGCCCTTACCGGCATTTGGCAGCCTAACTGGTGCGTATGAGCTCCATCCTAGGCAACTGATAACTACTGCCGAATGAAGAACACCGACCAACTGTGGAGAGCGACCCTTTCTCTCCGACGCCAAAACTACGCGCTGTGGCGGCCGTGGCTCCACCTGTGTACGCCACTGCCCACAGCCGACTCCAAAGCCCTCTCCGACGTCACCGCGTCTGTACCGTAGGGACGGCAACCACGGCCCCTCTGCTCGCCACAGGGGACGAACACAGCAAGAGCTCTGGATTAGGCTGCTGGCCACGGTTGACTCCAGGTCCTTCTCCTGCGACACCGCCGTGTTCGTCTCTCCGAGGTACCTCGCTACCAATCCTCTATCCCTCACAGCTGCCAGGGTCAATGAAGACCGGACTCGCCATTGGAGACAGGCACATACATCCGTATAGTATATTTGACAGTCACGGCGTTCGAGCTCCAGGCGTGCGACACACGCCACTTGGACCCGATCATCCTTGGCGTCTGCCCGAGGCGGCCGCGGTCCCACCCCACACCGCCACACCGCCGTACAAACACGGCGGGGATCACACAATCACTACCCGTCCCGGCCGACGGCCGGCTCAGAACTTGGGCGCCGGGTTTTTGGTGTAGTCGTGGTTAGCCGTGTTCATGAACTGCAGAAGCATAAATCGAGGTCAGCACATGGCATGAATACGTTGGACACAGAACGGCATGGCAGTATTCGGCACAAACGATACGGTCGATGAGAAATACCACCATTCCCACACCAAGGTAATGCTGTATGTCCACATCTGGTGTAAGGAGGTAGCAGACATGATGCACACCTGGCTCGTGAGCTGAGCTATCATATTTGGCAAGATACAGCAGGAACAAGGCCATAAATAAGACGTGCCGATCCCGCTAGCACACCTACGTGTTACAGCATTTTGAACGCCTTATCAAACGCGAACTTTCTGTCTTTCCGCGTCTTCCGCTACCATGCGACGACGAACAGGCGAACAAAAACAGAGCCCTGAGGTGGCCGGCGGTTAAGCGGTCGGCGGTGCCCACCTTGTACTGGTAGTTCCTGTACTCCTCCCAGGGCTCCGGGTTGGAGGTGCGCCGCCAGGAGACGTCCGGGTTCCGCGTGGCCAGCCGGATGGTGTAGAAGGTGGCCAGCGCGACGCCGAAGCCGAGGGCGCCGAACAGCGGCACCAGCTGCGACATCGGCACACCCAATCAGACTACGCAGAGACGCCGGGAGGCTCGCGGACCACACAGAGACGCCGGGAGGCCCGCGTATCACATAGAAACGCCAAGCGGCCCGCGGATCACACAGAGACGTCGAGCGGCCCGCGGATCACACAGAGACGCCACGCGGTCCGCTGGTTCATGACATCAGGAGCCCGGCAACATTCTTGCTGCTGCATTGGACACTGTTAGAGCTATCGTTCTAAACATGGGGAAGGGTTTTTTTTCTAAAAATACATTTCACAGGCATTAAAACAGTTAAATACCCAGATACTATGCCTAAATGAGTTCCCGGGTTTTAGGTCCAAGGAACTGGGAGCCATATACTGGTGAATATGTCGAATGATGAGCTTAATCAGCAATGATGACATTGCTTCCGATAATACTTTCGCCGCACATACCTACCCACCACCCATCCAATACAATGGACTCATAAAACGAAGATGGGGACCGGCAGCTTCCTGCCAGGGAAACGGCAAGCATAACGTGGCACCACTTCACCGCGTCTGAATCGCAGAGCAGACAGTGTGGACACCAAGTATGGGGACGAAGCCGATGAATGATATCGGCTAAAGCGCATCAAAATTCATTAATACATTGCGTTATCCGCCAGAGTCAGCAGAGTGACTGACTCCGACTCCTTTTGGCCGGCCTGCACGTGTCTGCCAGGCATTGTACCTGGACTGTCTCGGTAAATCGGTTAAGAGTGCCGCCTGTCTAATTGTTCGGGCTGGAACGTGCAGGGCCTCGTGTGTTGACCGGGAGGTGGAGGGCATAAATGTTTAGCTGTTTTTAAAACCAGGTAGCTGGTGGAGCGTGAGTAGCGTGACCGTGGTGGAGGGTGAGTAGCGTGATCGTGGTGGAGCATGAGTAGGTGGCCGTCTGTGGCACGTTCATTTGTATTCTTTATGTACCATTTTTCTCTGGCTGTGCGTATCCTATCCACCCTGCATTTTGGAGGGTGTATAAGACCGGTGTGTAGCCACCCGCTATTTTGGAGAGTGTATAAGTCCGATGCGTAATTACCCTCTGTTTCGGAGGTGTATTTACAGAGCCTTTCATAAATTGCAGACCCATGCATAGGCACATGTGTTTCATAGTACCGAGTATGAGACTGTGTTGTTTCAGTGTGCCATGTTTAATACTGATGTTTCATTTTATTTATAGTACTTTACATGAAATGCTGTACATGAAAAAAGTGTTTTTGTTGAATACCACCCACTGTAGTGTTATCTCTCAAAGGTAACCTAAATGAAACTGTAATGACCCGCAGCACCTGGATAACTTTGTACTCCACTATAGAAAATTTGTACTCCGCTACCAGGATTTTATAAAATTTCCAACACTGGTCTGGAAGCCCACCTCAATTGTTCCAGTTCCAGTTGGAAGTGATTCTGGCCACTTCCAAGTGTTGTGCTGCGGGGGATGACGACAAAAATGTGCTGGGAAATTCGCAGAACGCTTCCCTCCCAATGTCTGCACGACCAAGTAACTCAACGGCGCAGAGCTGTCCCCGATAAAGGACAGGACATAGCATTCCAGCAAATGCTGTGCGTGTTCTAGCCTACGCAGCGCTGAACTTCGCGCACAACCCCGACAACGTCACCCTCCATCGGCAGCTAATCCACGGGACACGAATAAGTTTGTAAGGCAGAGGCGAGAAGGAGCGAGGTGGCCTCCTCCCCCAACGTGCCACTGACCTCCGTACGAGGGCAAGATTGTCGAGGATGAGGGGAGCGGCCATGTCGGCCACCTTCCCTGCTGTTGCCTGGCAATGGGGTCGTCAAGCTACACCCATGCTGAAGCTGCCCAATGGCAAGGGATCCGCAGCGACGACAGCCGTACTGTAAACGCCCAGGAAACCAACCCCGGCTGCTCTGCCGGCGCCGACACCGTCCTCGAGCAGAAGCTGGCGCGGGGGAGCGGGAGGTCATGTAGCTGGTGACTGTGAATGCATTCAGTGGTCCTGGTGCCTTCATCAGGAACAGATGCCCACCAGCTCGAGCACTTAGCAAAGTGCCGTTCGTACACAACGCGCCCCAGTACCATCGCCTAGTTCAATGTATCCTCGACTGGCAGCAGGCCAGAGGCGACTATCACTAGCTGCTCCAACTCGCAGTGATTCTTATTGAGGAATGTTGAAGCACAGGATTCGGTTCTTTCCTCCTATCCCCTCAGCCCATCACTCTGTTGGCATATAAAGTGTTCTAATTTCACTTCTAATTCCTCACACCAAATCTTTACATTCTGTTGTCCCATTGGCAGTGTCTGAAACTTGGGTGTTTCTTGGTGTTTTTAGCCCCAAGGCATTTTGTTCTCCACAAATATACAATGGACAGAATGTAAAAAACTGCTCTCTGTGAGCGATGGAGGCAAGCTGTTCCTGCAACTTCGACAGCATCACGCGCCACACTCACGACTGAACGACGAATACTAATTGCGGGTTACAGCCGAATCTCTCTACCATATCACACATAATCTTGCCTTCCAATGCATTCAGTGCCCAGGTCTGCTGCTGCTCACCAGCGCATGTTTAAACCACCTACCGTCCAATAACGACACCAACGCGCTCATACACCGGACCCGTGCCCGCACTCGAAACAACAAGTGCCTCTGGACGGACCAGGGAGAAACACAGAGAATATCTCGTACATGGCACAATTAAATGTTTCTGGGCTGCACACAGAAATCATTGTAACACAAGAAAATTGATACAAAAGTATATGATGTCACACTTACATGTACCTCTAAATATAGGGTGAATTAATTATATATTGATAAATAAATCATTTTGTCTTTTTTATAACTAACACTTTTATTAACATTGCATTTGAAACTATCAAACATGTGTATTGTGTAGAACATATAATGGTGACGTCAAACACCATCCCAAACACTCGCTTGGGCGCACGGCAAACCACGGCTCTGCGAGTCTCCCCCTCTTGGGGAGGATTTAGCATTGGAGAGAAGGCATCTTCTCCACCAAGAAATCCGAGCTGAATACTGTGATGAAGATGCATAAAAGGGACATGGAACAAAAACATGGAATTTTTTGCTATGGATCTACCGACTGTCGCCAGGGAATCATGACATGAGTATAAAGCTAAAGCAGGGCTTCTTGTTCTCTGTTGAACATAACTTTTACTGGTGTATTTATACGATTACTTACATCTTTTGAAATCTACCTTTCACTTAAACTGGGTTTTGCCAGCCACTATTTTTTACAAAATCAATAAGATCCTGAAAAGCAATATCAAAACCAATAAATGTCATTGCCATGACATTTATGTAGCCTACCAGCCTACTGACCTTGCTTTGGAGGAGCCGTGCGAGGAGCAGTGATAGTGCAACTGGTTGGTGTAGATAAAGGCAATATATAAATTTAGCTCAGTGCCATGCACTGAGAAAAGTATTGTATCAGACACAACGTCGGTGGGTAGATGTAGTAATGCTAACTTTATGCGGCTGGTGCTCCCGTGAGGAGAAAATAATTCCTCCACCATGCTGCAATGGCCTCCGAGCCCCGATCACTCAGCAGACTTATGTCCCAGGTGAAGTTTTGCACAGAACTTCCTGGAAAGAGTGAGCAGAGAAATGTTTTATCCCAAAGAAATGGTGCAAACCACATTCTCCATGATTTTCGCCAAGTTTTTTCTCAAAGTTGGGGAGGGGGGGCTAGCATCCTATCCAGCCAAATAGGGAACTTTACTTGTTCCCAAATTGAGTACATCTAGGTCAGTAAAAGCCTAGATGGGTATAACATTGCCCAGAATCTTTCCTCTGGGTGAGAAGGATTGTACCTTGGCTGGAATGTTGATGCCCTAACTACCATGCTCAAGATGCTCCTATCTATATCGTGGCTTGCATGACATTTCAATCATAAACTTAGCATTATGTGATCTGGAGAATGATGCAGCATGTGCACATTTTATGCATCTGCTTCTACCAGCCCTCATTGGGACTGATACCTTTACAATACAATTATCAATACCAACAACTCAGCTCCATAGCTTAAAAAATACAGCAGGTGCCAGCATAGACTTAGGAAGGAAGCACCTACTTAGGAAGCTAGATAATTTAAGAATTGCAAGCAGCCAATTTCTATGGGAATCACTGAGACCTGCTAGACCATGGTTTTCACTGTCTTCTGCTGCCAAAGAATGTCCTCTAGTGTCAGCTGTGAATGCAGTGCAAATTTGCTTGGATTTTGTTCTCACTACAAGCCATGGTTTTAATATTTTTGTTCTCTCCTCCAAGCCAAAACCAAACTTCAGATACTGCCCGTCAGTGTAAAATATCTTCTTACTTGTTAGCAAACTCCTTTAAAGATACTTCAGATTTAGTAGCTATGTCAGCCAATAAACCATAGGTCTGCAACATTGGCATTTCAAAAAGCAGCAGCAAATTGCCTTGTGGCAGTGGCTAATGGCATTCATGGCCTTGAAATGACATGATAGGGTAAAATAAAAATTAAAAACATGACAGCCTTGCTGCATCTGCATCATCTAACCAGTATTCATATGTACTCTGCTACACAGTTAGAATTCCTATGTTGACAAGGTGATATAATTAACTGCTTAATTGAACCATGTTGTCTACTCTTAAAAATAATTAATGCACAGAATGTTCATGTTACATCAGGTAAAATATCTAAAATTTAGCCATTCCTGGAATGCGAAATTGTCACTACTCTAACCATCTTCTAGTACGTGCTAAAACTGTCTCCTAGCGACCACCATTTTCAGGATGGTACATATGCACCAAGCAAAATAAAACCTCACTGGCGACCCAGTAACAAAAATAGGAGCACTAAAATTGAATTCGAGGATTTCGCTAGCCAATTAAAAAACCCGGCTTGCGATTATTTCCTGTTTCGTACATGGACGGATAATAAATGTAAATGCCTCAAGAGGGGACGGCAGCTTGAACACGACACTGAACTTACAGCTGGATGCCTCTTCAAGCTGGTAGCACTCAGCCCCTGCATCTTTGACAACAATTGCAGTATCTGAACGATAAAATGTGCCAACTGGACGGTCGATCCAATGCAATGCAACGCTTTATGTGGCGTGCCCGATACACCTATCGTCACCGCTGGCTGAAGAACGCAGGCAAGAACTTGAGCAAGAGAGTTATCAGCTGATTGTGAAAACCGCCTCGATACGGCAGAAATATTTTTGAACTGAAATCTAATTTATTTTATATCATGCTTTGAGTTTTCTTTTGTGATTTACATAAAATAAAGGCCTCATGAATCTGAAAAATAGTGCTAAATTTGTACATATTCTTGAAGTTTATGGTTCTATTACTAATTAATCCTGCATGCAGACATTTTGGCCCTAGGCGCCCCTGGCGTCGAGGTGGAAAAGCATCCAAATCGGTTGTGTTGTGCGTCGTTCCTGCGCCAGTTTCCCGGGGAGGATCACCTGCAAATAATCCTCGTAGCTCGCAATCTGTTGAAGGTATGTTCAATGCCTGAATTTATTTTTCACCATGAATAATAGCCTAAATGTCACGAAATATTCTGGCTGCTGTGTGAGATCCCGTTTTTGACATGTGAGAGCAGGGATTTGGTGGTCCACAGTCGCCTGTCGGAAGTTTGTTTATTGGTACTGAGGATTGATCTTGTGTTTGAGATGGATATGACATTCCTCTGAACTTTCAGGCGTGTTGTATACACTCATCATGGATTATACAGCATCCAAGAGGGCATGCTTTTGGATCCAATAAATGCATCTATCAGCTAAGTATGTGTGGCACTTATTTCTTGCACATAGCTATGCTGTTCATCAATGCACATTTTATGTGTGTTGTGCATTTTCACAACACTGCATCTAACCTGTGGTTTTTGTGAAAGATAGCCATCCTTGAGCACAGTTGGGATGTTCTCCTCTTGAGCTCTCCTAACCATGAAGGTTGCATGTTAAATGTGTTAAGGAATGAGTAGCAAACCTCAACCTAGAAATGAAGGTGTGACCAAGAATAAGTGGGCATGTACTCACCTCTGCTTGTCTTGAGCATATTTGTGTCTGATGTAACCTAGTGACATTCAGATAGTAAATATTCCAATGTTTGTATTTGTCAAGGTAAATGGAAAGAAAGATGTCACTACCCATTGTCCATAAATGCCAGTTTGATCCACCATGTTGAGTACATCATCAAATAAATCTATTAGATGTTCTGAAAATCTTAAGTACATTGCAATTTGAATGACAATTTTAAGGACCATTGCAACATTAACACATGAAAGCTTGGTTTCTGACAGAAATGTATAACCTCATCATGATAGAAATATTATTTGAGGACTCCTGCAGCATCTGAAGGTCTTGGTGGCATGGACAGTGCTGTAGATTCTGGGGGAGAAATGCAGGTCTATTTAGTTACTATTTAGGATGCCTCTAGGATGCCTGATGTGGGTTGTTAAGTGCTTTGTATACAAAACCACCTTTTGCTAGTTTTTAATGCTATGAGAGGTATGTGATTAAAATTGCTTGTCAGTATTTATTGTTTTCACTTAATATATATGTATATATAATTTTAGGTCATGCAGACCTTTCCTTTATACTAAAATCAAGAATTTTGGTTGTTGTACTCAAGCATGTTATATGTTTCTCCCAGACAGCAATGATAAATGAGGTAATTCTGGTAAGGTTGGTTTCCAAAACATGCAATTTTGATAGTATCCTCAGCATCCAGGCCCACATCTTGTTTTAAAGGCATGATATAAGCCTGCCCAGTTTGTTTTCCCATGTTATCTGTTTCAATTGACTTTGTTTTACTTCCTGTTATGTGTCCTGTCTCATACACAAGTCATGTTAGCAGGTGGGCAATAAACACTAATTGTGGAGGCACTTGTTTTGGTGATATGGCTCAATAAATCCTCACCTACATGTGACACTGAGCATGATGGTGTTGATTTGTCATAATGTTATTAGTGGCAGCACCAATTCATGGTTTGATAGGCTCAATCATTGTGTGCTTTGCTAATGTTGTTGTGTTTTTAATATAATTCACTTAATCTCACTGGCATGGTTCTGTTCATAGTACTGCTGATATAGTTTCTTAGGAAAAAGGCATGAGTGCAGATAACCAAGACAGTTGATGCACCCTTAAAATGCAATAATTAATAGACACATGGTTTGATAGTTTATGTAGCAAGGGTATAGAGAGAGCAGGGTTTTCATGGTCAATATGATCTTTGTCATGTGTTTTGAACCATTTGCAGGGATGCTGTAGACTGGTCCGCAGCGTGCTCCACACCTATCAGGATGAATGGGGAGCTGCCAAACTCCAACACGCCGGTCACCACCCTTGCCGGCATATTTAGCCTCTCTGACCGTGAGTAAAGATATATGATGCTCACATGGCTGCAATTCTTGGTTACCATGGTGCAAATCAGGCATCTGTAAGAAGGATGTGCTGTCAGGCACTGGCAAAGTTCAAATGCACTCCTTCAGATTATTTTACTCATAGCTTTGCTCAGTGGATGTGTTTTATCCCATGCATTTATTTCCTAGTGGCTTGTACCCATTCTCCATAAGAAATTCATGTAGTCTGATCATTGTGGTGGGGTGGGTGGTACTATGACTGGGGTCACCAACTGCCAACTTCTGTAGTGCTGATGGTCTAGCTAGTGGCGCTCGCTTCTCAGTTCTGCCGGAGCTGCCGCTGCCGACGCCAATGGAGCAAACCCTCAACAACCGGTCGCTGCTGTTCCACCCGCGTGTGGCCGAGGAGGCGCGCCGGCTGCTCACTGTGCGCGACAACAGCCTGGTGCCGCAGCTGGCGGAGGCGCTGGCCAACACCTCTGCCGAGCACATGTTAGTGGGTGGCACTGACGCGTGCCCCTGATCAAGTGTTCCTTCCCGGTCCATGCCGGCTTCTGATTGGGTATTCCTACCAGGTCCATGCTGCCTTCTGATCAGGTACCCCTACCTGGGCCATACCGGCTTCCGATCGAGTGTTCCTTCCTGGTCCATGCCAGGCTTCTGATCGAGTGTTCCTTCCTGGTCCATGCTGGCTTCCGATTGAGTGTTCCTTTCTGGTCTATGCCGGCTTCCGATCGAGTGACCCTTCCTGGTCCACGCTGGCTTCCGATTGAGTGTTCCTTCCTGGTCCACGCCGGCTTCCGATCGAGTGTTCCTTCCTGGTCCATGCTGGCTTCTGATCGAGTGTCCCTTCCTGGTCCATACCAGCTTACGATCGAGTGTCCCTTCCTGGTCCATGCCGGCTTCCGATCGAGTGTTCCTTCCCGGTCCGTGCCGGCTTCTGATTGGGTATTCCTATCCTGGTCCATACCAGCTTCCGATGGAGTGTTCCTTTCCGGTCCATGCCAGCTTCCGATGGAGTGTTCCCTTCCGGTCCATACCGGCTTCCGATCGGGTGTTCCTTCCCGGTCCATGCCGGCTTCCGATCGAGTGCTCCTTCCTGGTCCATGCTGGCTTCTGATCGAGTGTTCCTTCCCGGTCCATGCCGGCTTCTGATCGGGTATTCCTACCTGGTCCAGACCAGCTTCCGATCGAGTGTTCCTTCCCGGTCCATGCCGGCTTCCGATGAAGTGTTCCTTCCTGGTCCATACCGGCTTCCGATCGGGTGTTCCTTCCCGGCCTATGCCGACTTCCGATCGAGTGTGCCTTCCCGGTCGATACCGGCTTCCGATCGAGTGTTCCTTCCCGGTCCATGCCGGCTTCTGATCAGGTACTCCTACCTGGTCCATGCCGGCTTCTGATCGCCTATTCCTACCTGGTCCATGCCGGCTTCCGGTCGCGTGTCCCTTCCAGGTCCGTACCTGCTTCCAATCGAGTGTTCCTTTCCGGGCCATGCCAGCTTCCAATCGAGTGTCTCTTCCCGGTCTATACCGGCTTCTGATCGGGTGTTCCTTCCCTGTCCATGCCAGCTTTTAATCGGGTATTCCTACGTGGTCCATTGAGCGGGCGCCTTGTGCGGCGCGTGGGGCAACGCTGTCCAGTTTTAGTACCTGCTGGGGTCACACTACCTGCCTCATAGTGCAACACATGGGTGCTGTTTGCTTGTGTGTGCTTTTCATTGTGTGTGGGGGGGGGGGGGGCTGTCAAAAAGGTGAATAGACATGATGTTACCTCCACATGTAACTGTGGATTATAGGCTACTGCTAGCATCCCACAAAAGCCTCCAGAATTATATTGGGCTGTCATTAAATGATAGTGAATATCAAAGTGTTTGACTTACCTCGTGTTGCTTTTATCTGATGTGATGCTGCACTTTTTTATTGTGATGCTAACGTCTTCTTTGTCATTATGTGCACGTGTTCAACATACAGGGTTCCAAAACCCATGTAGTTGTGTGAAGGATGTCAATATTAATTGACGCTGCCAGACGTCTGGTGCCTCGGCGGCCTCCGCCCCACATGTTTCGTTGACCATTAACCTGTTGCCCTCTGGCCCCGAACGCTGGCATACAGATCTGCTCACCTGGTTTGCCAAGCCCTCGTCTCTAAGTTACTGAGTTCACCACCATCCAGTTTAATGTTGATCAGCAAATCATTAACGACGGGAAGTGCAAAAGGCATTGGTTATTTCATTGCCACACTGTCCATATGTCAAGTCTCTGCACCAATGTATCAGTAATGTCCGAAGTACTGACAGCTTTGAGGTTGCGGTGGTTTGGTGCCAAAAGTGTTCATTGCGTCAGCTGTTGGGATCTGTGCTTGGCGGAATTCCTGTTCATGGTCACGACGAGTATTCCAATTCCTTGATGACCCTAAGACTGACTCATCCGTCCTCCTTCCAGCGAGCTGAAGGATCCGCCGGCGGCAGCGGCTGAGGCACCGGACACCGAGCCGGAGCTGCTGCGGGCGCTGCGTCAGCTTAACAATCAGCTACTGTCGCACCCAGTGGTGAACCACGCGGCCGAGAGGGTGGCCGTCCCTGCTCCGGCGGCGGCCGGCCCGATCCCGGCCCAGTTAGTCGCCGCCGCCTCGCCGGCGGCCCGGCTAGCCGTCCCGGCGTCGGCACCGTCGCCGGCCCCGAGCCAGCCGGCCGCCGGCGCCGCATCCGCAGTACCAACGCCGCCGGCTGCGGCCGCCGTACCGGTGGCCGGCGAGCCGCCCCCGGCGCCGCTGCCGCCTAGCTCCAGCAACGGCGTGATCGCGGACGTGGTGCGAGAGACGGCGCCGGCGGCGGCACCGGAGTCAGCGCCGGCGCCGACGCCGGCGCCGACGCCGTCGCTGGCTGTCAGTGTTGCGCCGAAGGACGCGGACGCAGTGGTGAAGGCGGAGCCGTGTGACCGTGGGGAACAGAGCCCGGACGCCGGCGCGTCGTCAAAGGACTTGGCCAAAAGCAGACAGCTCGTGGTGTTACTGAAGAGCAATCCGGAGGTAGGCAGCGGTCTGCCGGTCTGAACTCCTCGGCTGAGGCTGACCACCCGCCACTCCGGCTGACCCATCGCTCCGCCCAGCGCTGCCTGCGCCGATTTGTCTGACGTGTTGCACAGGTCCTTTTCCGATGTAGCGCCGCCAGCGGTTGGAACGCCATAATGAAATGGTTTGTTTTGTGTTCAGACTGTGGCTGTGTTATGCCGAGACCGTGGCGAGGGTGCGGGCTTGCCGATGGGAACTGTGATAAGCTGTTACTGTTGATGTGATACGCTGTTACAGGCTGTTGTTGTGATACGGCTGCAGCCTGTCGTTACCCGGTTTGTTGTCGCGCTGCAGGATGAGGCACTGATGCAGAAGTGCCTGGAGGATCTGAAGAAGTCTAAGCAGCAGACGCCCGGCGGCCGCACGCCGCGCAAGCCCAAGTACCGCGACACGAGCAGCGACGACAGCGACGTCGAGCGGCGGCCCCGAAACAAGTATTTCAAGGCGAAGGAGAAGGAGCGTGACCTGGCCAAGAAGAAAGGTGTGTCCACTGGGCGGTGGACCTGTAGGCAGAGCTTATAAGCTAGTGTGAAACGCGAAAATTGTGTGGCAGAATTAACTTGTGTGGGAATATGCTAGTTAATAGCTTGCCTGTACATCTTCTCTTTCTGTGCATTGTCTTCTCCAAATGTAATGTGGTTATTTAACACTCATTATTATTACAGAGAAAGAGGAGCGTAAGAGGAAACGGCAGCAGGACGGTGACTGCAAACCTGAGGAGGACTCGGAGAGCGCAGCAAAGCGAATCAAGCGAGAGGGAGGTATGAAACCATGCTGATAGTCTCAACACGGCACCACATGTCGAGCCCCAGAAGCAGTCTCCTTTATCTCGGCGGCAGCTGTTGAATTTTCAACTTTGAATAATAGATCGTATGGTCGGAATAGGTTAGCTTCATTCCTGCCCATTGCCTTGGCAGCGTCACACTTATCTGACGCGTCCGCCCGCAGAGCTGGTGGATCGGATCAAGAACTCACGCCGCTTCGAGCGCCGGTTGGTCCCGACTCTGGAGAAGCTGAGCGCCGAGGAGTTGATGGAGACCAACACGTACCAGCGCTTCAACCAGTCGCTGGAGCTAATCTTGGACGGCGCCGAGGAGCTGGACCTGCTGGCCGAGACCGGTGGGTGGTGCTGGCTGCGCCGGCGGCCGGGCGGTGGGCAACTGATGCCTGGTCGGAGACGTGTGCTGGCGGGTACAGTGCTCACCAGGTTCTGCTATCTGCTGTACATCTGACGGTGCATATTTCAACTATACCAACGCTGAGCTCGTGACGCGCCCGGGCCGTCGTTCAGTATGGCGCTGTGGATTCTGTCTTCCCTCGTAGTGTGTTGTGTACTGGGTGCTGGCGCCAATCCGTCCTCCGCACAGCTGTGTTGCCATGCCTATTCCCGGGCCGCCGTCGCTGGGGAGGCAAGGAGAATTGCCCAGGTGCCTGTCGCGGTACAGGTGGTCACACAGTCTGTGTGAACCCCCGTCGTGGGGCAGTCTGGCACGCGGTGTGTGTGTGCTGTTCCCTGCCACAAAACGGTCTGGTAAAGTCAGCGGTGTTTGGCTAGTCCCCATCATGGAACATTCTGGCAGGCAACTTGTATGTAATGCCCTGTCACAGAGATTGAGTGCTTGTCATGGACTCTGCGTAACAGGTTTTGCTCAGCCCGATCTCGCGAGCCAGTCATTTAAACCGTGCGTTCGATCTGCTGTCTGTGGATGGTTATGCTGAGTGCTTGCTGGTATAGTGTTTATTTTGTCAGCTTGCCGGACGATGTGTCGGGTAGTGTCGTTGGTGAGGGGTTGGATGACGGACGGACGATGTGTCGGGTAGTGTCGTTGGTGGGGGGTTGAATGACGGACGGACGATGTGTCGGGTAGTGTCGTTGGTGAGGGGCTGGATGACGGACGACGTGTCGGGTAGTGTTGGTGAGGGGTTGGATGACGGACGATGTGACGGGTGGTGTCGTTGGTGAGGGGTTGGATGACGGACGATGTGTCGGGTAGTGTCGTTGGTGAGGGGTTGGATGACGGACGATGTGTCGGGTAGTGTTGGTGAGGGGTTGGATGACGGACGATGTGTCGGGTAGTGTCGTTGGTGAGGGGTTGGATGACGGACGATGTGTCGGGTAGTGTCGTTGGTGAAGAGGTTGGATGACGGGCGGACGATGTGTCGGGTAGTGTCATTGGTGAGGGGTTGGATGACGGACGATGTGTCGGGTAGTGTTGGTGAGGGGTTGGATGACGGACGATGTGTCGGTTAGTGTCGTTGGTGAAGAGGTTGGATGACGGACGATGTGTCGGGTAGTGTCGTTGGTGAGCGGTCTGGATGACCGGCTTGTGCTCGGCGACGTGATAATTCCGTGTTACCCCCCTCCCGTGTTGTGATGAATCGCCCTGGGACCGAGTGGTGAGGACACGTTGGATCAGCCCGTGTTATAGGACATGCTGCCTCTCGAGACCAAGTTGTGATGTTTAATCTATTTTAATGAGTACCAAAGCGTTAAGTTGAACGGCATCCCAGACATGTATTCAAAACATGCTGCTTGCTGCCATCGCGTGCCCTTCCCAGCATTTACGTGTGAAATCGCGAAGGTATGATTCCGTGGAGCTGACGCGTTAGGAATCTGCCTCCCCCGGGGCAAACGCAGCTGGCTGGCAGGCTGCATTCACCTGGTCAGCCCAGCAAATCATTGGTCCCCGGTTTCCGGTCAGTCCGGCAGACCATTGATACGCTGTCGCTCGTCAGTCTGACACGGTGTTACACAATTTATCCAGTTATATGCCGAGGATGCGAATGTAAATTCATGCTACCAGACTTCTCGCTCCTCAGCCGCCTCCGCACCCACAACGCTCGTTGCGTGCCAACACGTTGCCCTTCGACCCCGAACCCTGACATTTCGACCTGCCCTCCGGATTTGCGGAGCACGATGCGCCTGTATGCTGGGTGGACCGCCGCCCGGCTCATGGCTGATTGGCTGGTCCTGAACGAGGGTAGGAGCAACGGGCTGTGAATCCCGAGCCGGTGGTGCAGTAGCATGAAAAATGTCCACGTACTTGCCACCCGAGTGACTGAGTATTGCCACACCGGACTGGGACCGACTGGCTGGGCTGCCGCTAACGGCTCGCGCCTGGGCCGGCAGACGAGGACGCCGATGTACCTCAAGAGGCGCTCATCCACAAGTACCGGCTGCAGGAGCTGGTGAGCGAGGCGGCCAAGCTGAAGTCGCTCGGCGCCATGGAGTCGGTGCCGCCCGAGCGGCTGGTGCGCGCGCTCGGCATCCTGGAAATCAACGTGCGTGACGGCGCGCAGATCACGCCGTTGGGCGAGGCCGACGAGGGCGAGGAGGAGAGCCGGCTCTGGATGGAGATCGCCATGGAGCGCGTGGTGCGCGGCGCCGACGCCTCGCTTGTCATCATGTACATCCTCACCTCGCCCGGCATGCCCAAGCGGGTGTACCTGGAGGACTGCATCGAGCGCGTCGTCAAGTTCATGAAGTTCCAGCTGCAGAACACGGTGTACCCGGCCTTCGATCCCGTCTACCGGGTGCCGTCCAAGAAATCCTGTACGTACCGTTGTGACGCGGAATCGGCCGTGGGCTCCTTCCTGGTGTCTGTGCGCCCAACAAATGTGCATTTTAGTGTAATTTTGTCGCTGTCTACGTTACAGACGGGGCGTGGGCGCTGCGTGCGGCCTGGTCTGTGTGTCGTGCGGCGGCGAGCCCCGTCTGACCGTCGGCGTTACAGGCGGGTGTGGGCGCTGCGTGCGGCCTGGTCTGTGTGTTGTGCGGCGGCGGGCCCCGTCTGACCGTCACCCGTCTCTGTTTCAGCCGATCGCTGGCCACGGCAGCGCCAAGAAGAAGCGCGCGCACGCCAAGGACGTGCGCGACCGCAGCCTGTTGTCGCTCTACAACAAGCTGCGCGAGCTGGTATCGCTAACAGCCGAGCTGCTCAACATCCAGGTGCTGACGGACACGACCGTGCTGCAGGTGTCCACGTTGGGCGTGGCGCCGTTCTTCGTCGAGAACATCAGCGAGCTGCAGTTGTCCGCGCTCAAACTCGTCACAACGGTGAGTGTCGGCAGGCGGCGGCGGCGGCGGCGGCAGGCGGGGACCGGCCGCCTGGCGCTGGCAGCTGGTGGTCGTGCTGTAGGTGTGCTCTGCATGACGGATGACTGGTGTGCAGTCGAACCCGTAGACCCGGCAGCGACTGGGCGTCCTCTGCTCCCTGCTGCGTGAGTTTTGCACGTGTTGTTTTGGCAGCTGCGAATTTTTACCTTTAGAGACTATCAGCGGTGCTCTCCACACCTGTGATCTAATTCATGTCATCCAATGAATGTGGGCTACATTGTTTTCACGCAAAATTGATTTGTTTATTGTCTGGGAATTTACGTATCACCAAGTTATGAAAGTTAACGTAGAATTTGCATAACATTTTTGCATTATCAGCATCGCAGTGTGGCTCCTTGCACTGTTGCACCTTGGAGATTATTGCACGCATTGTGGCGCTGGCCGCGCGCGCCCTGTTGCGAAACCCCGATCGGGCGGATGCCAGCGCGTGTGTGCGTGACGCGTCACCGGCCCGGCCCTGTTTTTGCTCCGCGTCGGCGGCGCTCGGTGGCTCTCAAACCGGGCCGGGCCGGGCCGCAACCTGTTTGCACGTGTGTGCCGGCCGGCGGCGGCGGTCGGCCCGGTAACGGCGGCCGGCGGTTGTGCTGGCACGCGCCGGGGTCGTGGGGATGGGCTGCTGGCTGTGTACAGCACGGGCTTGGTGCTCTTGACGACCTCTGTTGTTAAGGCACGGTGCGATGCGAACATGTCTCTTGTTGCATGCCTGTTAGCGCCACGCTCCTCGGCGCGGTGCATTGTTGTGCATGCGCCGAGTCTGAAGTCCGGTGGTATACAGCAGTTAGCACTGGGGCGCAACACTTTGAAGGCGGCTACGCCACACGGCGTGTTAACGTCGTCCTGCTCGGTGGATTTGCGTATCACGCATGACTGCGTACCATTCGTGCGATGCGGGCCCCGCCACCGTTCGTGCTATGCAGACCCCGCCACCGTTCGTGCTATGCGGACCCCGCCACCGTTCGTGCTATGCGGACCCCGCCACCGTTCGTGCCATGCGGACCCCGCCACCGTTCGTGCCATGCGGATCCCGCCACCGTTCGTGCCATGTGGACCCCGCCACCGTTCGTGCTATGCGGACCCCGCCACCGTTCGTGCCATGCGGACCCCCCATCGTTCGTGCCATGCAGATCCCGCCACCGTTCGTGTCATGCGGACCCCGCCACCGTTCGTGTCATGCGGACCCCGCCACCGTTCGCGCGTCATGTGATCCGACGTCTGGCCGCCGGCAGATATTCTCCAAGTACCAGAAGCATCGGCGGCTTCTTCTGGACGACATCCTGGCCTCGATCGCCCGGCTGCCCAGCAGCAAGCGCTCGCTGCGCACGTACAAGCTGAACTCTGCCGGCCAGGGCGACGGCGACGTCTACATCCAGATGCTGACCGCGCTGGTGCTGCAGCTGATCCAGTGTGTGGTCGTGCTGCCCAACTACCTGGCGCGGCCCAGCCAGCAGCAGGAGGCCGCCGCCGACGACGAGGACGCCGAGTGTGAGGTGCGTGTCGCTGAGGTGGACCGGCCGCGGCCGTGTTCGGGCCGACCGGCGCTCCGCAGATGGGCGTCAGACGGCCGGCGGTGACGCGTGGCTCGCCCCGGCCGACCCTAAAGATCCGAAGACGTGCTGATCTGTAGGTCGCCCGTGACGTCGCGTCCCACGGACTGCGTGCTCGTGGTGATAAGCAGATATGGTGTGCTGTTTCACGGGCGAACCCCGACGTGACTCGCGGGTGAATTGGGACGTGCCGTTCCACCTGCTGACCCTGACGCGACCCGCAGGTGAATCGGGACGTGCCGTTCCACGGGGTGACCCTGACGTGACCCGCAGGTGAATCGGGACGTGCCGTTCCACCTGTTGACCCCGACGTGACCCACAGGTGAATCGGGACGCGCCTTTCCACGGGATAACCCTGACGTGACCCACAGGTGAATCGGGACGTGCCGTTCCACGGGCTGACCCTGACGTGACCCGCAGGTAGATCGGGACGTGCCGTTCCACGGGCTGACCCTGACGTGACCCGCAGGTAGATCGGGACGTGCCGCTCCACGGGCTGACCCTGACGTGACCCGCAGGTGGATCGGGACGTGCCGTTCCACGTGCTGACCCTGACGTGACACGCAGGTGGATCGGGACGTGCCGCCCCGCGCGTGACGTGCCGACCCAAGGGCTGACCGGAGTCGCCGGCCGATCCGCAGATTGACCGGGACGTGCTGATCATGGACCGGTACGACACGGCGATGCGCACGGCGCACAGCTTCCTGTCGGTGTTCCTGCAGAAGTGCGGCAGCAAGACGGAGGAGATCGACTACCGGCCGCTGTTCGAGAACTTCATCCAGGACCTGCTGGCCACCGTCAACAAGCCGGAGTGGCCGGCGGCTGAGTGTTTGCTCAGTCTGCTCGGCAAGCTGCTGGTCAGTGACCCCTCCGGCCCCCGGTCAGACGCCGTCCGACGGCTCTGTGTCGCTGGCAGGCTAGCTGGGCGTGCGCTGGCGGGCGCCTCTTTTTGAAGGCTGCCATCCTCCTGCATTGTCGTGAGAATGATGTCAAACTTCCGCGAGTAGCGAGTGGGTCAGGTCTTCTGTCTGTCGGTTTCTGTCTCTGTTCTCTGTCGTGTGTGCGTGTCCCTGTGTCGTCTCACACCCGCCGTGCGGCCCCCGGCAGGTGACCAACTTCAGCAACAAGGGCAAGGAGATGGCGCTGCGCGTCTCGTCGCTCGACTATCTGGGCGTGGTGGCGGCCCGGCTGCGGCGCGACGCCGTCACCTCCACCGCGCGACCGGAGCTCATTGAGGAGATCATCAGCGAGGTCAAGCGCGAGGAGCGCGCCGCCGGTCTGGCGGCGCCCCCTGACACTAAGGACGCGGCCGCCGCCCCGGCAGGCACGGCCACCGCCGCCGCCGCCACCACCGCCGCCGCTTCCGCTGCTGCCGCCGCCGCCGCCGCCGCCACCGCCGCCGCGGCTGCCGCCGCCGCCGCCGCCGCCGACAGCAAGAAGGAGAAAAAGAAGAAAAAGGTACGGAAGTTTAAAATGAGTTCCGGCTGTGACTCATTATGTATGGTTTGGGATACGTTATGGATGTCACTGCTATCGAAGGCTCGAAGGAATATCTGCTTCTCTGAACTGATTACTATCTCGTGGATAAGTAGTATTAGTACATGCTTTTGCAACGAAAGTAGTCAGGACTGCCACATGACAGTGCACTCAATGCACTCCTCACCCCAAACGGCTGTCAGTCTTATTGACGACCCTGAGACGACGCGTTTTTTTCTGCCTTGTCCATTTCCGGGCCGTGCGTCAGTGTGATGGCGGGCGGCCTGGCTCGGCGCGTGCTCACCCCAGTGGTCGCGGCGGCCGTGCGTGAGACGGACGTGTCCCCGTGTGTGCAGAAGCAGGAGGTCGAGCAGACGCTGGCCGAGACGGATGCCGAGGAGGAGCGGACGCGCTTTCTGCAGCGCGTCATGCTCGACTACCTGGCGGTGAGCGCCGAACGCGACCCGGCCCTGCTGCACTGCCGCCACTTCTACCTGGCCCAGTGGTACAAGGAGGCGCCCCAGGAGATCCTGCGCCAGAAGCAGGGCCCGGCCGCCTCGCCGGCCAAGGCGCGCCACAAGAAGCGCAAGAAACGGCGTGCCAGCGCCTCCTCCGAGGAGGAGAGCGACTCGACCGACGAGGAGGGCGACGAGACGGCCGCCAGCGAGGAGCTGAAGCGCGAGGTGAACGCCCTGGTGGAGGGCCGCCGCCAACTGCTGCTCACCAAGGTGGCGCCGTTCGGTGAGGCCGGCGGGCGCGTCGGCATCCGTACTCTGCAGACGTACCTCGACTACGACCACGCCGAGCTGCTCTGCCGCTACCTGGCTAGCAAGCGGCCCTTCTCGCGCAGCTTCGACGTCTACCTGAAGCAGGTGAGCCCGTCGCCGCCGGACGGGGCGCGGCGTCCCCGGAACGCGATGCCCCGGGAGGAAGGCGGTCGCGACCGGCAGCGATGCGGGTGCGTTTGAGATTGGCAGGGCGCGGCGCGAACCGGAGAGATAGGGGCGGTGAGGCGTCTTGAGAGGCAGTGCGTCTCCGTGCCACGGTGCTGGTCCTGTGGAACATGCGGTGGGCATCACGGGTCTTACAGATTGTTTGTCATGTACATCACGGTACTGGTCGATGTCGGGTGCTGGGTGTGTTACTGAGTCCATTCGCCGGTCGTGTTACGCCACCCGGGAGCGCTGCTGACCTGCACGCGCTGATACCGTGCCACCGAGCGGGTGGGTCATGTGCCCCGCCGCGGGCGTCCGCAGCAGCCGCTGTGTCTCAGCCAGGGTCGACGGCAGATTGTGTGGCGCCCTCCCTGGCCGGTGTCTGTCGGCGACAGCGCCCTCCCCAGCACAACGACGCTCCCCGCCCCGCCTGACCGTCGGCCGGGCCGGCAGATCATCCGCGTGCTGTCGGAGAGCGCGATCGCGGTGCGCACCAAGGCGATGAAGTGCCTGACGATGGTGGTGGAGGCGGACCCGGCGGTGCTGGCGCGCACCGACATGCAGATCGGCGTGCACAACTCGTTCCTGGACCACAGCACGTCGGTGCGCGAGGCCGCCGTCGACCTGGTCGGCAAGTTCATCCTGTCGCGGCCAGAGCTTATAGAAAAGTATTACGACAAGCTGTCGGCTAGGATATTGGTGAGTGGCGCTCCGGTTGACTCGGGAGAGGGAGTCCCTCCGTCCGGGTCGATCGTTGTTGGGGGGGGGGGGGGGGGGGGGGGAGGGGCAGGGGCACCAGCATGTCTTGTTTTGTGAGCAGGCAAGTCTGATGATGGTCTGGATAGCCAGAGACAATAGTGTTCCAGTTAAAGATGTGGTGCGTTAAGAGGTTGTATGTTTTGGGTGGTGTATGGCTCGTGTGACTAAAAGGAATGATTTCTATTGCAGGATACTGGTGTGAGTGTGCGAAAGCGTGTGATAAAGATTATGAAGGACATTTGTGTCGAGTGTCCCGACTTCCCAAAGATCCCCGAGATCTGTGTCAAGATGATCCGGAGGGTCAACGACGAAGAGGGCATTCGCAAGCTGGTGATGGAAGTGTTTCAGGTCGGTGACTGTCTGCCCTTTGGGCCAAGTTCCACAGAATGCGGGTTTGTTGATGTCGAAACGGCAGTTTTGTTTCGACCTGGCTGAGCGTCACTATTGTCACGCATATAGACACCCATTTTAGGGTGCATTTTGTGTCAGCTTAGTGACGGATACTTGTGAAGAGTGCTTGAGTGCCGACCGCGTCTGGTCCCCGGTTGTCGTGCGTGGCCACTGACCGTGTCTGGTCCTCGGCTGTCGTGCGTGGCCGCTGACCGTGTCTGGTCCTCAGCTGTCTTGCGCGGCCACTGACCGTGTCTGGTCCTCGGCTGTCTTGCGCGGCCGCCGACCGTGTCTGGTCCTCAGCTGTCTTGCGCGGCCGCTGACCGTGTCTGGTCCTCGGTTGTCGTGCGTGGCTGCTGACCGTGTCTGGTCCTCGGCTGTCTTGCGCGGCCACTGACCGTGTCTGGTCCTCGGCTGTCTTGCGCGGCCGCTGACCGTGTCTGGTCCTCGGCTGTCGTGCGCGGCCGCTGACTTTTTCTGGCCGCCGTGCAGCTCATGTGGTTCACGCCGGTGCGCGAGCGGGGCGAGCGGGACGACGCGGCGCTGCTGAAGAAGGTGATGGACATCACCGACGTGGTGGTGGCCTGCCGCGAGACGGGACTCGACTGGTTCGAGCAGCTGCTCAACACGGTGAGTGCGCCGGCCGGCCTCGGTCTGTCGCTCGTCCGGTCGCGCTGTGACCATCTGGTGGTCGTGGCCTGGTCCCAGCAGCGGCAGCTGGGTGTCTTCCACATACGTGCGTTGACTGAGGTCGGGCGGCACCGTGCTGGTGTTGTTCTTCAAGCGTGCGTCGTCAGCGATGGGCACGAATGGCGGGAGCTGTCTGCATCCCGCCGTCTCGTCTCCTGCGCCGTCGTCTGACAGTGCGCTCCTCACCAGCTGTTCAAGCCGAAGGAGGACAAGGAGGATAGCACCAAGGTGGTGTTCGAGCCGCCCAAGTCGCTGCTGACGGCCAGCCGGCAGATCGTCGACTGTCTGGTGCAGCACATCCTGCGCATCGAGGAGTCGGGCCTGCGGGACCGCGCCGCCGACACTGGCACCGCCGTCAGCCGCGGCAGCTCGCAGCGCCTGGTGGCCTGCCTCAACACGCTGTACATGTTCGCGCGGATCCGACCGCAGCTGCTGGTGCCGCACGCTATCACCCTGCAGCCGTACCTCGCAGTCAGGTACGCACCGCGCCCGGTGCCCGGCTGAGGACCTTGTGATCGGCTTGGGGGGGGGGGGGGGGTAGGGGGCTCGCGGTCGGCGCCTGACTGAGGACTGTGTGGTAAGCGCGTGTTGGCGGGGTCCGTGTCCGCCCGCGGCGCTGCCGCCTGGAGACTGCGGACCAGTTGGGAATCTGCGGTGGGCTGTCGCTCTCATCTGGACTGAGCTTGTTGGGGCTGGTTGGGCCGACCAGGCCGAAGTGTGTGCAGGGAGTCACCTGGAGTTCTGACCTAGATTTGCCTGAAGACACGCGTGACGTCAGTTTTGACAATGGCCTGTATGTAGAATGATTTGGGATCAGGCGCGGTCCGTGTTCCGCTCGTCGTGGCACCTGCTGCTGTGTGACGTCATGACACCTGCACGTCCGCCCGCGCTGACCGCCGCCTCCTTGTCGCCGCCAGATGTCAGACGCGTGGCGACTACCAGATCATCAGCCACGTGGCGCGAACACTGGAGCTGGTGGTGCCACTGATCGAGCATCCCAGCGACACGTTCCTGGCCGAGCTGGAGGAGGACAGCGTCAAGCTCATCCTGCAGCACGACAAGACGGTGGTGGCCAGCTGCCTGGCCTGCCTCGGCTCCATCGTCAACCGCGTCACCAAAAACTTCGGCCTCATCCGCGACTGCTTCAGGAAGTACTATAGTACGTGGACTGATGGAGTCAGGTCATTGGCCAGCTCGCTGGATGGCGATGGTTTCCGAGGTTTAGGGACTCGAGGGACGATCTCGAGTTTTGTATGCTGTATCTTAAGGTGGAGACCGATATGATCGTGGTGACAGCCTGGCTGCGTTTGGTTTCCAGCTATAAAGACATATCGTAGCTTGTTCAAAGCACTCTTTGTTTACCGAGCACTTCTGTGTGTCTGTAATGTTTGTGTCGGCCGTGCAACACGCCAGAAGGCCGAACGACAGCACCACCGTTAGTCACCATCACCGTGAGGTCACTGTGAAGCGCGTGACCACGAGTCCTGTCAGCCGATGTCCGCTGTGCTGGGTCCCTCGGCTGGGCTGGCGCTGGCCGAGTATGGTCAAGCTCGGTCGACTCAGCCCGGTCCCGCCGGCGGCGGCGTTACAGGCCATCTGAAGTCGTACAAGCTGATGCACGAGCAGCAGCCCAACAACCCCACGCTGGAGAAGCACAAGCCCTACTTCCGGCGAGCGCTCTTCACCGTCGGTCTGCTGCTGCGCTACTTCGACTTCGGCGACGAGCAAGTCAGGAAGGGCCTGAACGTGAGTGGCGCGGGCCGGCGGCGCGATGCCCGCGCGAGGGGCAGGCCGCGGCCGTGAACGCTCCAGTCCAAAACAGATCAAATCCAAAGTCAAAATACAATGCCGCTCTTGTGCGATTGACTTCACGGGTGTAGAGGTGATACAGACCGTCATTCGGTGGGGTACTGGTTGTGTGGTGTTAGGTTTCGCGTCTGGGGACCTAGGAGACCGGGGCTTGATTCCCCGCGGCGTCCCCCGCCTCCCCTCCCCTGTCAGGGTGAGAGGCAGGTGACGCCGTGTGGCTGCAGCAGCTGAGTGCGTCGTTAGCTCAATGACGACGGCGATGGCTGTCTTTCATTCATGTTTGGGATGTGCGATCATGCATACGGTAGCGTCAACGTATCACGATAAAACTCAAACACGCCTGCGAGGCAAACGGGATGAGCTGGTACGCGGACGTGGGGAGTAGACAGACCGGACTTCTTCTTGGACTGACTGCTGTGTGTGCTCCGCGCGCCCGTCAGGTCATCGCACTCAACACTCGCGCCGCGACATGGGGCGCGTGCTCGGTCTGTAGAACCGCACCTCAGGACTGTTGATGTCGATTCGACTGCCGACGACCTCGCCGTCTTCTAGCCTGCTCGGGGTCTTGCGCCCGTCACTTACATTGGAGCAGAGTGTCAGGAGGCTCATTACCGCCTCCAAACGGCTCGGCGGTGTCCGTTGGCGCGGCCGATCGGCCGTGGCCCGCTACCAGCCTGACCGCGTCTTGCGCTGCGCCGGCAGGACGACATCGTGGACGAGGTGCTGGAGACGCTGCTGTACTTCGTGAACCAGCCGGCGCCGGACATGCAGATGTTCACGCTGCAGGCGCTCGGCTTCATCGTCATCCGGCACTACGACATGATGCTGCGTGAGCGTGTCAAGCAGCTGTACCACGGCTTCCTGCAGGATCCGGACGGCAACAAGCAGCTCAAGGCGCAGGTGCTCATCAACCTGGAGACGTACCTGGTGGAGGAGGAGCGGCGCATGGTGCAGCAGGACGAGGAGTGTGAGTGACGGCGGCGGGACGCCTGCTCGGCCCGGACACGAACGGTACTGGCCCTCTGGCGCACTCGGGTGGAGGGACCGCTACTGCCTTGTTGAGACGGCACTCCATGAGTGATGACTTCGCTGTGCTCGGCGCTGGGATTGATGTGTTGCCTCGCTCGCTGGCTGTGTGTGCGTGTGTGTGCGTGTGCGCGTGCGCGTGCGCGTGCGTGTGTGGTGCTTGCCCGGGAGCGTGTGACGGGCCAGGCAGCGGCGCGGTCCCGCTGTATAGCGACACGCATCATCCGCTGTCGTAGCGGCGTGCAAACCACCACGATTAGCTTGTTGGACAGACTGTGCCGCTCCTCCCTTCCCTGCAATATGTCCCGCGTTGTGTTTTCTGATGATGTCTGCTCTCTGCCCTTGGTGTCTTCCCATTCAGTTTCATCGGCATTTCCTTTCCCCGTGTCAAACATTCCCATATCAACACTCCCAGTGTTTTCGCTCCTCTTCTCCCATTGTTTTTCCATCGCCTAGTGTTTCCCCGTCGTAAACGTTCCCTTCCCCCCCCCCCCCCCCCTTGTCTACGGTCTTTTTGTCAAACGAAGGAAAAAGACGGCTGATACTGTGTCTCAGGGGCAGCTGAAATATCCAAACTCTGCGTCTAGGAGCGTCGCACCACGCTGCCCCTCGAGTGTCCACACTCGGTGCCCGGGAAGGTACCTGGTGCATGTCCGTGGGGTCTGCACACAATACGTCCCCGAATGTGTCCTCTCCCCTCCCACACTCTATGTCTCTGCAGTCGCCTCACGCGTCATGTTCGCATGACAGGGTCGAAGCGCGCCAAGGAGGAGAACCTGAAGGAGATGGGCGACGTGACGTCGGGCATGGCGTCTACCGTGATCCAGCTGTACCTGAAGCAGGTGCTGAGCTCGTTCCTGGACGCCTCGGTCACCGTCCGGCACGCGGCGCTCAAGGTAAATAGCCGGTCCCAGCGCCAGCTCGGCCGATCATGGTGCGCGTGCTGTGTCCGCCCCCTCCTCTGACGAGTGGGAGTGGTGTTGACCGCGTGGGCTGTGTGCTCATCATCGGCGCTGAGGAACACGCTTCAGCCCATTCCCGTTCCATCGCGGACTTCAAGCCCGTGGTCGTGTTTCATGCCAGTTTGAGCGGACATGTATCTGGGGATTTTTCGCTGCGCACCGTGCCCCTCTGCGCTCCAGCACCCGCCCGCTGCGTGTCCGTGGAGCCCGCGCTTTCCTCGGCCCTGGAGTCGACCCACGCACCGCCACTGTGATGCTGGGGCGGGCTGTGGGCAGGACTGGCCGCCGAGCGGCCGCAGCGCTGACGTGACCACCGCCGCCTCCTGCCGCCTGACGGGCAGCGGGCACGGCTCCGGATCGCCGCCACGGCGCGCTGCTGACGCTCCGCGCTGTCTGGCTTCCGCAGGTGATCCAGCTGATCCTGGCGCAGGGTCTGGTGCACCCGGTTCAGATCGTGCCCTACCTGATCTGCATGTCGACCGACCCGGACGAGCGTGTCTCGCACACCGCCGACAAGCAGTTGCAGGAGATCGAGAAAAAGTATCCGGGCTTTATCCAGATGAAGGCCACCGCCGGCATTCGACTGTCGTTCGAGCTGCAGAAGATCCTGCAGGCCGACTGCGAGGTGGGCGGCATCACGGTCAGCTGGGCGGGCCACCCTCCCTGCCCTTAGTCCCGAACACCGCAGCCAGGCGTCTGAGAACGAGCGCAATGTTCACGTGTGTCGGGTTGTATGATGTGTGCCGAGTGCAGCCTGTGTGCCGCCGCCTGTCCTATCTCAGCTTGCTGACGCCTCGGTGGTCGCTGTGGTGTGTTTGTGGCGGCCGTGTAAGCCGGACGGATGGGCGCCTTCCTGCTCGCCTCCCCTTCCTTGCTGACGCCTCGGTGGTCGCTGTGGTGTGTTTGTGGCGGCCGTGTAAGCCGGACGGATGGGCGCCTTCCTGCTCGCCTCCCCTTCCTTGCTGGCGCCTCGGTGGTCACTGTGGTGTGTTTGTGGCGGCCGTGTAAGCCGGACGGATGGGCGCCTTCCTGCTCGCTACCACCGCTTGGCCGTGCCCGCCGCGGCGTCAGCCCCCGAGCCGATGCTGACCTCACGCCGCCCCGCCGCCAGACGACGCGCGGCCTGAAGCTGCGCGAGGGCGAGCCGCCGGCCGCCCTCAACGGCTTCCTCTACTCGATCCTGCGCACCTCCAAACAGCAGCGGCGCGCCATCGCCATTTCGTGTCTGCGCAACTTCGACGAGCAGGCGGTGAGTGGGCTGTGGGCCGCTGGGACGGGCGGGTCCTTCCCCTGCTGCGTCGTGTGGTGGCGAGCTGGTGCGCCGGCTTGCCGTCAGAGTGCGACGTTCGCGGCCGTCCGTGCGCCTCAGCGAGGGGTGTCGCTCCCCTGTTTGTGGTAAGTCGCGGGTGGGACTCCAATATCATCCGCGGTCGGCGCGACCGAAACTCTCACTTGTCATCATCGCACTGACCTATGGCGCCTGGACCTGTGTAACAGACCTTTGGGTCCGATGTCGCTCCCTCGCAGAACGCCCGGCATTGACTGTCCCCTGTGATTGTGTGGGCTTGTGTCGGGCGTACGTGACTGTCCAGCCCGCTGTCCCGTTTCCTTGTGCTGGCCGGAGCCGTGCGTGTCTGAACCGCAGCTCACCCGGCCTTGGAATGGTCTGATGTCCAGGGGCGCCCTGCTGGTGTGTGTATGGGTTTAGCCGTCTGTCCGTGTGAATGGCTGTGGGTGCTGATGCATGCCTCGACCGTCCCGTCGCCGCAGAGGAAGTCGCTGCAGGAGCTGCTCTACCTGGCCGACAACCTGGCCTACTTCCCGTACCAGGTGGCCGACGAGGTGCTCTTCATCATCCACCAGGTACGGACCCACAGGACAACGAGCTGGTGCACGCACGACAAGGTAGCGCGTATCTAGGGGACCGAGCGGGCCGCGCGCTGGTCGAAAATCCACGCGGAAATGCTGCAACCAGACACAGACCGTGAACCCCTGCGTAAAACGGTTATCGTTCCCTCCATGGCGACCGTGCCGAGCGCTGTCATGGCTGGGAAATGGGGCAACTTATTTGTAGGGGAATGTGGTGATGTTTCTGTCCGTGACTGGGTCACACGCTGTCCTTGACATGTCATGTCTACGACGGAAACTGGAGCTGTGTGACGTGACCACCGCTCCCCCCGCAGCAGCTGGACCGGACGGTGTGTCTGACGGTCTGCTCCGCCCGCAGCAACTGGACCGGACGGTGTGTCTGACGGTCTGCTCCGCCCGCAGCAGCTGGACCGGACGGTGTATCTGACGGTCTGCTCCGCCCGCAGCAGCTGGACCGGACGGTGTGTCTGACGATCTGCTCCGCCCGCAGCAGCTGGACCGGACGGTGTGTCTGACGGTCTGCTCCGCCCGCAGCAGCTGGACCGGGCGGTGTGTCTGACGATCTGCTCCGCCCGCGGCAGCTGGACCGGGCGGTGTATCTGACGGCCTGCTCCGCCCGCAGCAGCTGGACCGGGCAGTGTGTCTGACGGTCTGCTCCGCCCGCAGCAGCTGGACCGGGCGGTGTATCTGACGGCCTGCTCCCCCCGCAGGTGGACGTGATGGTATCGGTGACGGGCAGCACCATCCTGCAGCTGGTGCGGGAGGCGCTGCTGCCGCCTGCCGGCCAGCCGGTCCGTCTGCACCCGATGACCGGGCAGCCGCTGCCCTACGAGGACGACGACGACGATGATGACCACCTGCTGGAGCGGCTGCCGGAAGACCTGACCCCCATCCGGGACGCGCTGGCCGCCTCTGAGGGCTGCAATCTGTTGTTGGTCATGAAGCAGCACCTCAAAGACTTTTACGGCATCACAGACAAGTAGGCGGCAGTGTCCACTGGCTCAGCTCCACACACTGCCGCGGCGCTGTAGCTCGGCTCAGAGTGATTGTCAATGTTGGGTTGAGGTTTACGGGCAGTATGGGTTGTTTTTTCATCCCCCCCCCCCCCCCCCGCCCTTCCCCATAATGTTTTGGGATCATGATTTCACTGTGTCAAGCCGATCAGCATGCTAAGTATAAGCCGTGAAATGCGTTATGTCGTCGATCTGAAAGTCAGTAAACTAAGCCGCGTAAGGGGAGCTGGCTTGCTGTAAGCTCTCGCCGGCTCTGTGTTTTACTCGGTGACATCGAGTCCGTCCGACACACGGGAAGGTCCCTCGTTCTCGGCTGAGCGGCCGTGCCGCCGCGCTGACCGCCGCCCCGCTCTCCCTCCCCCCAGTAAGATCTCACAATACTCGCCGTCCGAGTCGGGCAAGGTGTACGAGAAGGCAGTGAACCGGCGGCCCAACGTGCTGTTCCGGCCGGACGTGACCATCCGGTCGCTGCGCCTGCTGGACGCCGCCGCGCCGGCAGACGGCGCCGACGACGACCCGCGTCGCAAGCTCATCCTCCAGTACCTGAACGTGAGTTGGCCGCGGCGGCCGCGGCAGGCGGGGGCGCCCGCTGCGCAACGCTGGGCTGATGTCCGGTGCCGGGTCGCAAAGGAGGGTCTCGGAGGTGCGATTCCTGCCGTCTCGTGGTGGAGGCCGTTTTCGCCGCGCATTGAGAACTCGTGGCAGCCGCCATCGTTTTCTTGAGAACGTGCTCAGTGATGTTATGGCACTGCGCGAAGCTCCTCGAAAGGGACTAAACTGTAGGATACCCACAGTCAGTGGGCTTGACTTTAGCAAGTTGGCTGTCAGAAGTCTGTACGGTCCAGTGCTGCGCTGTGACCAAGTCACCGCCCAGCCTTCCGTGCCTCTGAGACTGCCGTCCGTCGCCCCCACAGTTCAAGCGGCTAATGCTGCACATCGACCCGGCGGACGAGGAGGACGACGACGCTGACCGGAGCGCGGCGACCGCGTCCCGGCCGCCGACGGCCGCCGCCACCCCCGCTGCCGGGCCGCTCGCCGCGCGGCGACGGGCCGGCGGGGGCGGCGGCGGCAGCAGCGGCGGCGACGCCGGCTCCGGCTGCGCCGCCGCCCGAGCCGCCGGCTCCGCTACCGCCCATCATCATCTCGCTGGGCGCGCTCAGCAAGCAGGCGGCGGCCGCCTCGGCGACGGCCGAGCTGCGCAAGCAGCCGCCATCTTCTGAACCACACATTCCGTCCGTCGCGGTGAGTGGCGTGCGCCGCCGTCCCCACGGACGCTGCAGACAGCGGCCGACTCGGAGCCACTGACCAGAAGGGAGGAACTCCCGAGGGCTGAAGTGTCCGAGGATCGTAGCCGCGATGGGGGGGGGGGGGGGGGTAGGCGTCCCAAAGCGAACTGACGTGATATCGTTGGCTAGATCCGTCTGCCCTTGTGCTGGTGGTGTGGGGAGTTTGACCATGCACCGCCTCTGCCTGCTATTTAACCACTTGTCCGCTAGCTTAGGCTCCAAAGGTAGCACCCGATGCGAGCACGCTAGGTTCTCCGCGTGCCGCTCGTCTCCTCTGTTGACCGAGCTGTCTGCCGCTGCCGGAGCCGGGGTCGGAGCCTCTGTGCTTGCGCCGTTGCCCCCCCCCCCCCCCCCCCTCCTGGCGCCTCCCGCCCGTGCCAGTTCGGTGGACCGTCTGTGACCGGCGATCGTGTCGGCAGGCGGAGCCGCCTCGGGTAGCCAAGCTGACCATCGTGCCGCTGCGCTTCCCCGGAGACGAGGCCGTCATGCGACACCACAAGCACAAACATAAAAAGTCCGACAAGCACAAGAAGAAGAAGAAAAAGAAGAAGCGCCGCGACAGCAGCGACGAGGAGGACGGCGAGAGCGATGCGGCCAGCGACCCGGACTTCGCCGTCTGAGACGCGCCCGCCCGCGCCCGCTCGCTCGCTCGCCCTCTCGCCCGCGGCCAGAGGCCCGCCCCTCTCTCCTTTCCAGTACAAACTCTGGCATAATGCTGCTCATCGATCCATGTCATCGCGACACTCACGCGCGCGCGTCTCACACCGGGCCGGCGCGCGCGGCGCTCGCCGCCACCGCGCGCGCGCGCGCCCGAACTCGCCTCGTGTACATACTCGTGTTCTGTACAGGTGCTGACTGCCGTTGGACGGCCGGCGCCGTCGTCGCCGGCACCGCGTGCGCTCCGGCCGGCCGAGGGAACAAGGGTGCCTATACAGAAATTATGTCTAGACCACAAGGGACGGCGCATAGATTTTATGATAGGATCCCGCGAGTAGTGATCGATATTGTATATTGGGGCCGGACGTCAGTATGCAAGGGCGCGTGCTAAAGCGGCCTCTCCGGACGGCGCCACCGCCTCAACCGTCGCCCCGACTCGGCTCGTTTTGTTGTGATTTTGTAGTTGATTTTCCATTCATGTAGCTAGATGGTTGAGCTATTTATTTTCGATTGAAACGTTCGTTTTTCAGCCGCCACGTCTAGGTCTTATTCAATAGACATTTATGTATTTTGATTATATTCTTTGATACATAAACCTCGAACCATTGTACACAGCGAATGGTTTTCTTCATGCGAGGAAAGAAGCGGGCGCGTGCAATATCTGGGCGGACAGTTGGTCTCTGGAGCTGTAAGAACATTCAGCGATTTATTAAAAGGTAGCTCCGCAAATATTCACAGCTATCGTGCCTGTCGTTGCATAGATGGAAAGCATTTTCTATTGGACCTATATTCATGGTCTCTCAATCGTGAAAAAAGGGAAGACCTCAGGAGGAAAAGATAAGGAGACCTCCATGAGACGCCGTTTGCTCGTGCACCATCGGCAGCGGGTCGGTGCAGGATGTGCGGGGTGCCAGGTTTTCGACGTCAAATGCAAGCTTCGTTACATGACGAGGTGGTCTGGCCACTCCGCCTGCGCGGTATCGCCGGGGAGCATTGCCCCCTCTTGGGGTGGTTCAGTGATTAGTGATTCAGTGATTCAGTGATTCTGCGTTAGACGGAGGCAGGGGCGCATTTTCTTAGAAATTAACCCGGAAGCTTGAACAGCGAAAATGACTCAACATACCCCAAAATACGCCTACAGACGGAGCTCTCAAAGTTGAGGGGAGAGCTGAGCCCACCACCCCGCCAACTGCACCTCTGACTGGAGAGGCTTATAAAGCGCTCCTTCCGGCTAAGCGGAAGCCGCTAGACTAGTGTGACTTCCTTAAGAACTTGTGTAATAAATGAATAGCAAAAAGGGGAAGGCCTGCGTTACTGCTGTAGAATGTGGGTCTAAAGGGACCCTAAATATGACCGGGCAGAAACTGTCGCCACCCGATTCTTTGGCACCGCCGCGTTCGGCGCAGGGGGCGTCCTCCACATGTGAGGATGCGGTCACTGAGCGTTGATAACAGGCACTTCGCTGATCATCTCGTCGAAAGCAGCTTCGTGATGCTGGTGCTACGAGACGTCCATGATGAGCCGTCGGTACGCAGAGGCATAATCTGCGGAGTAGCTGTACCCGACGATGCGTTCGCGGCCTGCTGCAGCACGCGCGCGCATTCGGTCAACTGTTGCCTTGTCAGGGCAGTCTGTAGCAGCTTAAAGCGGTCTTCAAGAATCTACCGATTGAAACTGATATAGATGGCGCAAAGGTGATCCGTATCCCCACGAAACTGGGCTGAGAACGTGGAAAGCTTGCAAGAGGACCACTATTCAAAAGCGCGGGAACTATGCTCAAGTTCGGGGGGCGGGCAGACTCCAAAATGCCAACATCGGCCGCCTAAAATGAGATAGTTGGCCCTCTGCAAGCCCGAATGGGCCTTTTAAGTCGATAATGGGCCCACCATATGTTAGAATGGGCTCACACGGGTCAGACTAGGCCCTACACAGTCAATCATGGGCCATCTACCGGTTAAAATGGGCCAACTATAGCTTGGAATGGGACTTCTACAGGCCAAATTGGGCTTTTCCGCCAGGAATGACCCTCTGCAGGCCAGAATGGACGCTCTACAGACCAGAATGGGCTCTTCGCAGTCAAAAATGGCCCTCTCCCAGTCAGAATGGACCCTCTACAGATCAAAATGGGTCCTCTGCAGGCGATCCTGAGACCTCTTGAGGCCAGAATTGGCACTCTACATTCAATAATGGGCCCTCTGCAAGTCTGAATGGGCCTCTGTATGTGCCAGATCGGACCCTCCACAGTCGGTAATCGATGATCTACAGGTCATAACGGGCGCTCTAAATGTCATACCGGGTCTGCTGAAGGCTAGAACGGGCCCTATACAGGCCAGAATGGACCCTCCAGTAAATAATGTGTCGTCTACGGATCAGAATGCACCTCTACAGGCCAGAAATGGGTCTTCCACATTCAATAATAGATCTTCACGTCGAAATGGGTCCTCCACAGGCCCTACGAATTGGGGGGCGGGGGGCATCGCCCTTCCCGCCAGCTTTCAAGTTGTGGGTCGAACTGTCCTCATCGCCCCTCCCCCCCCCCCCCTCCGGTTCCCGCGTCCTTGGTTTTACTTCATCTCACTCTCATTCGTTTACATGCCACACTTACAACACGCCTCATGTTTTCCGCACATAGCGCGGAAGACAATCATGGTGAATAGAATCGCGTCGGTGGGAGCTGCCTCGCACGTCATATTCCACGGCCGTCACATATCAGGCTCACCAGCCATCACACGCGGGCTTACCGGTGCTGCAGACATCTGCTCATCAGCACGGTTAATGCTGTTGGCTCCTCCTGATGACCGCTTTATTTCATGCGGTCATTATTTCTCAACTATGACGCCATGAATGAGCGACAGTGTGGCATATTGTCTGGCAAGATGGTGGAATCTGCTATGTTGAGCGCCCAATAGCCAGTGCGGTTTGGGTTGTGTAGATATTTTTGGAACATAGCGGGCACGGATACGAGGAGAGGTCTTCTCGAGCAAGATTTGCCGTACACATGCCGCCTGCTACCCATTTCCAACCAGTCGTATCCACCCGTTATCCACCAGTTTGCGTTTTTCCAGCACTGCATTCTAAATCAAAGCAAGACTGCAGGGAAATTCTCACCGAAATCATGAATTTTTGCTTTGACAGCTGCAAAATGTGTATGTGTGCAGAGCCATATATAGATACACCTCTTGAATATTTCGACATTTCAGGACCTTGGATTTGTCCGGGATACCCCAAAGAGGGCACGTGTAATTAGTTGTTACAAGTGGATACAACCTGGTGTCTTTGGAAAGCCCGGCCACGCTAAATCTATCGGTGGCATTTTCATCCAGGTTTCGGTTGCCGCTCTCGTGATTAGAAATGTGAATTGTGAAATTAACAAAAATACATTTGAAAAGTGCATGCCATTTTCAGTTCATTGCACGCGTGCATCATTCCAACAGGGGACCTACTTTTTGATTCAGTACAGTTACAATGTTAGTAGAAAAGCAATATAAAAGCATGGCAAAAACGCGACCACTTTTGCATGCTATCAACCACCCAGTCGTTCACATAACTCTGTCAAAAGCAAAATCAGTAAGCCAAATTTAAATCGTCAACACATCTTACACAACAGCAAACAAGCAATGTTCACATGACAGGACCGCCTATACTCTCTAGCCTGGTGCGCAGCTCATTGTGGGTACGAGAGGCGGTGGTCTTTGGTGGTGTCTACGGTGTCCCCGGTGAAGGCGTCCGTCTTTTGACACGATGGCAGATGGAAATGATTTTGCCGCTACTATAGCGAGCCTCATTAATCTGTTGACCAAGACCAAGTCGGAGTCGCTAACCAGCGTGAACAACGCATGGGTGATCTTGTGACTCAGGCTTTGCAGGGCAGACAAGGGGGCGAGCCTGCAGACGACGCCGTCGCCGAGACCACAAGCCACGACCAGCAGACCTCGCCTTCCGCCGTCAGCCACCCCAGCACCGCGGCTAGCCACCTCCGCTAGCCTGAGAGAGTTCTCGTCCTGGCGAGAGAAGCACAAAGGCTTCTCAAGTCTTTCTCAAGTCAATCTCAAGAAGCACAAAGTCTTCTCACAGGCCTCGACTCCCTCCCCATCAAAGAGCAACGAGCAGCGCTACTGGCACTCCTCGACAATGAATGGACGCGAGTCGTGCTTTATTCTCTGGACGTGAGCGATACCACTGAAGTAGACGACCTGCTGGACAAGATGGAGAAGCACCTCAGGAGCTAAAGAGGCGTCATCCTCGACAGGAAGGAATTTTACACAAGACCGCAAGCAGATGGAGAGCCGTTCGACGACTACTTGATGGCGGTAAGGGAACTGGCGGAATTCTGCGACCTCTGTGCCCACCGTATGGATGACAGACTCAGGGACAGGATCATAACCGGCATCCGGTGTGAAGAAACGCTGCGACTTCTCGCCGAGTCATCGTTGACGCTGCAGAAGACAATCGACATCTGTCGAGCGCGTGAAAACGCACTACAGAATAGCGAAGCGCTCCGCGGGAGCCACGCTCGCCCCGTGTCCGCTTACCGCCGTGGCCGGAGCCGGGTCAGCAGAGGCAGGCGGGACAGCCCAGACGGCCGACAAAGACGGGACAGCCCAGACAATCGTGGAAGACGATCCAGCATGAAGAAACGGGACGCCAACTACAGGCGAGACGACAGCTACAGGAGAGACGACGCCTACCGACGAGACAACCGGTCGCATAGCCGCGAGAGGCGATGCGGCTACTGTGCCGGACCATGGCACCCCAAGGAGCAGCTGGCCTCTTGCCCAGTCAGAAACACGACGTGAAGTGCCTGTGGCATCAAAGGACACTACACATCAGTCTGCAAGCGGGCCAGACGGAGCAACACGTGGTCAGACTACGGAGAACGACAGACGTCCGACAACCTCCATGTGAAAGACGTGCGCGTTCAAGGCGTGACCGCGAAGAAGACGCCTCAAGTGTCTCTCCTGGTCAGCCATCAGAGAGGTGAAGGATCACTCCTGTGGACGCCAGACACTGGTGCCGAAGTCTCCGTCATCGGCACCAAAGAAGCAGAGCGGATCGGCATCGACTCCTCGCAGCTGACACAGCCGGCCGACAGTCTCCTGGCCGCTGGAGGACATCAGCTGGAGTGTACCGGCACGTTCCAATGCAAGTTGACCATGGGACGACGCCAGACGTCGACCACCGTGACAGTTGTGACAGGCCTAACGACTCCTGCAGAAGACGTCTGTGGCCGGCGACACGGACTCCGATGAGTTCGCCCGGGGCATCCTGGAGATCCGGAACACGCCCCGGGTGGACGGACGCTCACCCGCCCAGATCCTCTACGGGCGTCCAGTTCGGTCGGCAGTCCCCATGCACCATCGCGCCTTCGACAAAGCTTGGCAGAAGGCTGCGGAGGACTGCGACCGGAAGGGGAGGATGTGATGAGAGCGACGACTACAGCCTACGACAAAGGAGCAAAGCCACTGCACCCGATGCGAATCGGCACGAACGTGAGTGTACAGGACAAGGAGACGGGACTCTGGGACAGAATGGGAAAAGTCGTGGCCATCGGGAGAATGAGGGATTACCTGGTGAAGTTCCCCAGCGGTCGCACCATGTGGCGGAACTGGCGCTTCATTCGTATGTACCGGCCTGTTTACGCCACGCAGGACGGTCCGGCCCCCGCACGCGGGGACGTCGCACCAAGACCAGCTCCAACGAAGGTGCGATTTTCGGACCAACCCAGGACGGTGGCGCCGCGTCGGAGCAACCGTTAGCGGAGAGCCCCGGAGAGGCTAGAGGTCGACCCGAAGGTCAAGACCTACCGATCGACCCCGGGGAGGTGTGGTGTTTGCACTCGGGTTTAGTGACGTCACGTGTGGGCAGCCCATCCTGCCGTTCGATATGCCGATTACGGCAACCTTGTCTGTAAATGTGGATGCGCCAAGTCGGCGCGGTGCGCGAGTGTCCGGAGAAGAATAGGTCGTTTGATTGGTTTGACCGTGTGTGCCAACGAACCAAGGACTTGACACTACCTACGTCCAGCTCTCCCCGATGCGCAAAGCACAAAAGTTTCTCGATGAAAAATAGTGACATGAAGATTAAGGGGTTAAGTACTAGGACATTTTGTGAGAGGGGGGGGGGAGGAAGGCACCAAGTTTCAGGGCACCCGAGTTTCAGTTCCACAGTGAAGCGTGACCCCTCCCTTGACGGAATCCTGGATCCGCCCCTAACGGTACGCCTAAAAGCAGCGGAGCGCCCCTTGTGTCTTCCACTGTGGCTGTGGGGCCTCTATTGTCCGACCAGTGACCAGCGCAGCACGAGACCAATTGCAAAGACGCACTTGAATTTCACATCCATTCATAGTTGTCGAAAATGCGGTGTTTGTGCCTCACTTTAACGGCATAGCACAATAACTTTTCGAACCAATAGTTCAAGAATTCAGTTTTGGCATATCTTAAGGACACACACAGCCATGTACTTGAATGTTTCAATTTGTACTTGAAGTACAAAGTGTGTTTCCATTTTGTTTAACTTCGAGGTGTGCTTATTTCAAAGAACTGATGTGTATAAGACGCCAGGTTCCACATTGCGCAGAATCTGTCCAATATTGCGGGGACCAGCCCAATAATATATAATATAATATAATAATAAAAACGAAGAATATATAATAATAAAAGCCCAATGATATATAATGATCTCATAGATTTAGCTCCAAGCGACAATTTAGGTCGTTCAAATTTCCGTCGGTGAGAGAAAAGACACTTTCACCTCTACTAGGCTCGGACGCTTACCTGAGCCCTGCGCGCCGGTCGGCGGTGCGCGGTTGCCAGGTTTGTCTCAGGGTAGCTGCCCGCACCGCACGCGCCCTCCCAAAATAGCCGCCCCTCCCCCCCCCCCCCCCGTCCAGCGGGCCCGCCGGCGACAGCACCGACCGGTCCCCTCAGCACACTGACCATACCGGCTGCGTGTCAGAGGCACCGCCCAGTCCCAGACGTGCGAGAGTACACTGGCCGTGGAAGTACCGGGCTGGTTACCGCCCGGTCCCCTCAGCATCGTCTGCGCGCCGCCGCCCTGTCAGTCACCGCCCAGTCCTACCCCAGAGCTGTGAAATTGCCAGTACTGTGCCAGTTACCACCTGGTGCCCTCTGTACAGCTGCATTGCCAGTGCTGTGCCAGCCACCTCCCGGCGCCGTTAACAGTGACCATGCAAGAACATGTGATGCGTCAGCGGGACCCACTCAGTTATGGATCAATACTTACAAGGGGCACTGTGCGTTATGCAACCAGGCAATCGCTGCGTAAACGCTAGCTGCGGCGGCGGCCGGTCTGCTCACAGTGTGGTTGCCCCACAGCTGGGGAGCGATAGAAATGACGATGACTTCGTTAAACCGCCCGTGTTCCCCTACAGTACGAATGACCGAAACCATTTCCGTCGACTTAGCCTTAGTTCTGTGACGCTCTTGCAGGAAATCGAGACCGTTGCGTCTGATGCAAATGAGAGCCTCCCCTCAGAGGACAGTTGAAGTTTGCTTTGAATTAATTTTGGCATCAATAAATCTTTTCATGTTTGTTTAGTGTTACCAAGCGTCCTGCTAAACTCACGCGGCGCTGCGCGGCTCGGAGGACATCGCCATTGGCGCGGCGGTCGTGAGGACATCGCCGATTACACAGGAATTCTGTCCACGGCGGATCACATGGTGGATCAGGCGGTAGCGAATACCGGTCGCGTTTGTAATGCGCTTGGTACTCAGTCTAGTCAACGCATAGTGGTTTTCTGCGATTGAATTCGTCATGAATGTGCATAACCGCTGGTATGCGGGCTATTTGCGGGTTAGGACTTAAAACCTCAGTCACTCGATCCCTAATTTAATCTGCCGCTTTCATCGTCGTGAGACATCGTGCCGTCAAAGGCCATGACATTTAATTCGTAACAAAAACATAACGGTTGATGTATTGTGGATATTTGTAGCAAAAACAAAACATCGTCGTCACTACGGTACCTTGGGGTCTATTTCCGGCCTTTCCTGAAGGGCCTTGGACGTTTTAAGCACTTTCGTATGGCATTCTTATCGCTGATCACCGAATCGTACAATACTTGCCAACACGAACGCTTCATGGACGGGAAGCTCGTATAACCGCTGCAGATGACGCGCCGGTAAAACCAAACAGCTGCGTGCCCACGCAGCCGACACGCCTGCGGCTCGTGTTAAAATCGCATCCAGACAATGCTCGGAGGCAATCAGCGCGCGGCAGAGACGCTGACGGCGGCGACCACCGCCGGCGCGGCGATCCCAGGTGGTTGGGCTAGACGCCACGTGACTATCGACCACGCCCGACCAAGGCCGGCAGCTGTGGCGCCGACGTCACAGGGACTGCGCATCGCGCCACGGCCCTGACGAGTGTCCGCGCTCGCCGATGTTCAGGGACAACGCCAGGGACGACTCGCGGCGCGGCTCTGACAAGTGTCGGCGCTCGCCGATGTTCAGGGACAACGCCAGGGACGACTCGCGGCGCGGCTCTGACAAGTGTTGGCGCTCGCCGATGTTCAGGGACGACGCCAGGGACGACTCGCGGCGCGGCTCTGACAAGTGTCGGTGCTCGCCGATGTTCAGGGACGACGCCAGGGACGACTCGCGGCGCGGCTCTGACAAGTGTCGGCGCTCGCCGATGTTCAGGGACAACGCCAGGGACGACTCGCGGCGCGGCTCTGACAAGTGTCGGCGCTCGCCGATGTTCAGGGACAACGCCAGGGACGACTCGCGGCGCGGCTCTGACAAGTGTCGGCGCTCGCCGATGTTCAGGGACAACGCCAGGGACGACTCGCGGCGCGGCTCTGACAAGTGTCGGCGCTCGCCGATGTTCAGGGACGACGCCAGGGACGACTCGCGGCGCGGCTCTGACAAGTGTTGGCGCTCGCCGATGTTCAGGGACAACGCCAGGGACGACTCGCGGCGCGGCTCTGACAAGTGTTGGCGCTCGCCGATGTTCAGGGACAACGCCAGGGACGACTCGCGGCGCGGCTCTGACAAGTGTCGGCGCTCGCCGATGTTCAGGGACGACGCCAGCGACGACACCAACTGTGGGCGCCACGTGTTTTGCACCGCGATTCGAGGGGATGCCCTGAAAGGTCTTCGGACTGACACCTCCGAATATCAGTACGCAGCGTTTGGGCAGGTTCTTGATGGGCGCCGTCGCGTGCTGACCGCGTGCCCGCGTCGATCCGCACGCTGCTGGCGCCTCACGCGAGCATGCAGCTTCGTTTGGGTCGGCTGGGCGCGAGGTTGTACGCCAAGTGATCCCAGCCGCTTGACCCCCCAGTCAGCTAGGGCAACCCAGTCATGTCATCCCCTAGTCGGCCAGGGGAACCCATCCGCGTGACCCCCTCGTCGGCAAGGGGAAGCCAGCCGCGTGATCCCCTCGTCGGCAAGGGGAAGCCAGCCGCGTGATCCCCTCGTCGGCAAGGGGAAGCCAGCCGCGTGACCCCCTAGTCGGCCAGGAGAAGGCAGCCACGTGATCCCCTAGTCGGTCAGGGGAACTCTGCCACGTGATCCTCTAATCGGCCAGGAGAAGGCAGCCACGTAGTTTCCTTGTCAGCCAGGGCCGCCGGTCGCAATGCCGGCCAAGCGGGCCGGTGTCAGAATGGGGCTGCGTCGTCCGGAATGTGCCTGGGGGTTCGTGGTGTAAGAGACGTGTCGCGAGACGAGCATTGAAACTACCCGCTTTTGTTGTTATATTTGTTTATCGAAAAGCACGATGTTTCGGTTATTTGTTGGATGTTATGATTTGTATGGCAATAATCGGTCCACATGAATCCAAGCCCGTGTACGATGTCGTCAGACAGTTCGCAAGCTTCAGCGCAAGCCGCGCGTGTCCCTTAAATTGAAAGAGGTACGAGTACGACAGGTCGGCTGCTGCCAGATCTGGAAAGCCACGTATTGCGCCGAAGCTGATGCATGCCATACTTTTGTGTACTCGGTTCACTCCGGCCTTGAATGTCTGAAGACATGGCCCTGGCTCTGGAAACAATGGCCTGGGCGTCTGCAAGATGGCGTGTCCCGCTCGGCGCTTACTTTCGGGTATGACCGAAGATTGGGAGCGAGAGCGGGCCTCTGCCCTGCTGAGGACGTGCGCGGATGTCGGACATGACCAAACATTGGGAGCGAGAGCAGACCTCTGTCCTGCCGCGGACGTGCGCGGGTGCTGGGATTGAGGCAGAGGCTCTTTCGACCACGGACTGCGCGATGTTTCCGTTAATGGATCGCAAGTCTCCGAGTATGGTCATAAACAAAGGAGTCAGAAAAACAGCATACACGATTTCCGGTGTCAGATATCGTGTAAACACATGTCTGTATTCGAAATGTGTGACACAATAGACCGCCATGCAAGGTCGAACCCGAAATGGTCAGTCGACGCCAGATTGATTGCCGTTTGCCGAAACGGGCCATGGCCCCTCCTAAGATTCCATTCTGAATCCGTTCCTGACACAATGCGTCCCAAATTAGCATTGATGGTACGGGCCAAAATACCCACATGGAAACAAAGCGTGCGATATTGCCGCGTGTGCGCCAGGCCTCGGGCGTTGCCATGTCACTGGCTGACACTTGACAGCCCAGGTCTCACCTCAACCCCAGCGTTCATAAAATCAATACCACCGCGCAGCCCCAAGGCGGCGAGCATAGCTGTAGGGCTCCCACCAACATTCGCCACCGTGACCAGCGAGCCCACAACAGTGCCATTGAGGCTCGCTGCTCGTGACCAGCGCCACATTTGCGGCGCAGCTCCCCCCCCCCCCCCCCCGGATAGAGCGCGGTGTCCGGTGCGCAGGCCGTCGCGCAGGCGCCGGCACCGCCGCCGGCGACGCGCCGCGAGTGCCGCCCGTCTGGCGTCGCCCGAGGCTATTCCGGTCAGGCGGCGCAGCAGTGACAAGTGTGCGGGCGCTGGGACAGCAGTAGGGGGCGTCGCTCTCCGCTCGCCGCCGCCGGCCGCCCCGCCGTCGGTGACGGCCTGTCGCAGCGCGACCGGACCGAGGTGGGTGGGAGGTACTCGGGACAGGCGGCGAGCTCGTTGCCCTGCACGTGATCCTTGCCGTTCACGACTCACGGGAGGAGACGATTACGCGGGCTGGTTGGAGCGCCGTCTGCAGTGTTTGGTTGGTTTGCCGGCGTTGGGTTGCCTTGTGCCTCGCCGTGACCGTCGACAGTGTATCGATCTTGGCGGCCCATCCCACCCCGCCGGAACGGCCGGGCCGTCCCAAACAGCCCCGCGGCCGGCGGCTCGGGGACGGGCCGAGGCTGGGTGTCGTGGAACATTTCGATGACTGCTGTCTGGATGCATCGCTACACATCACATATGGCCATACCCCATCACGTGTGGCGATGTTTGATGCTCCCCCAGCCGCCATATTCCTATTGAGAGTTCCGTGTCAGTGCCAGTCAGCTCGGCGCCAGGACAGGTCCCCCACCCACCGCGAATGGGAAAAGTCGGTGTTTGCTGTCAAGTCTCTCGCAGACTGGACACTTTTGGTGCTTTAGTTCCCAGAAAACGTGGATTCTTGTACGTTATAGACAAAATGACTCACGCCAGCGGAGCGCCGCCAGAAAACGACCGGACGGACTCGTGACAGTCACGTAGTTCGGACTCAGACTGGAAGCGAGTCGGCGCTTATGAAATGGTCTTGGTCAAAAACGGCTGCCCTTGGAATGGAAAAATAGCGGATCAAAAAGACACGCAGAGATCTTTGGAGCTTTATTAGCTCTCGCCTATCCCGTAGCCCGGGGGAATAGTTTATTTCTTGATTCGTTTTTCTTTTCTTTTCCATTTGGACATTATCGTAGTCCCAGGCAGCTCGTAAGCGGTGCCGCCTGATTTACAACGAACGCATTTTCAAAACAGCTTTTTGCTTTTTATCTCAGCTTTTTGAAAAGAACAACATCATTTGAATCCAAAGCATACAAAGAGCGTGGCGTCCACCAAGTATTCCGCCGCTTCTCACTACAGAACAATTACCAACAGCAGGTAACCAGGATGATGCTGGCGATGGTCCTGGATCAGGATGATGGTCCTTGGCTAGCCAAAACACGCTGGCAGCAACACCGACTGGACCGACCCGTCCATACAGATGGCCGTAGCGCAACACAATGCCGGCATTCCAGTGCCGCCAACTGACTCCGCTTCCATTGTGCATGGCCCCCTGTTGTAAATCGCTTATTCGGCTCTGCAAGCTGGTCCTGTCGCTGTTGCTACGGCAACGGCAGTGCAACGGAAGCAGTCGTGCAATGGCGGTCAGGCAGGCATGCCTGTCGCCGAAGTCATTATTTTTCCCAGTGGTAGGAAGCTATGGGAGCTCGCTTATTGGCTGTACTGCTCATCCACGGACGTCATGATCGCTTGGACGAGTCCATTTTGCACATCTGGGGAAAATGTTGGAGGCAGTGTCTCGCCGACTTTTGACCGGCCCTTGGACGTCTCTCCTCGCCGGCGGTGAGCCATTGACGGCGTTTTCATTTGGCATCGGGATCCTGAGACTCCCAGCGTACCCTGCCTTGAACAATAACAAGCTCTCTCTTTCCATGATTTCTAATGAAGTACCCTTGATTGGCATGTCCCTTTGCAATTTTGCGATTTAGTAACATTTTGTGCAAAATAGGGGATGCAGCGATTAATAAACATCTGTTTGGCAGCGTGACAATGGGTGAAGTTTATGTATTTAAGTATCTGAAATGAAAGCCCGGGATAACTAAATATCCAATGAAAGCCCGGCATGGGACTCATGCTCCTGGGCCACTCATGACGTTTTGGTGTCATGAAGGTAAGCCAAAATCTCATGGTGAAGAGATACTAAGACCTTCATTTTGCAGAGCTTTAAAATACGTTTTCAAGAGGAATTTCTGCGCCTTTCATCCTGAAGCAGTTCCTGATCAATTCGTCCTTCAGGGTTCGGCGAAGTGGCAACATAAACCTGCATTTCCCGGAGTCGCAATCTTTGTTTTCCAGAGACACTGAACTTCAGGGGCGCTATGAAGGGCCTCAAAGCGTTCATTTTCGAAGCAGTAAACTCCAGATGGCACCGCAGTGTTTCTATCTCATCATTGACGAAATCCGCGGTCAGCAATTTGGCGAATGGTCACCAAACCTTTCAATGTGTGGCACCATAACCTTTATTCGTAAGAGGCATCAAATCCATACGAGTCATTTAAAGGCCCCAACATCTTTATTTTTAAGGGGGACCAAGATCAGCAGCAACACAACTTCTGTGCCTTCGAGTCTGACAAAATCCACGGTCGGCCCCCCGCGAGAATGCCGAAAGTCTTAATTCTGGCATCGCTGCATGCATTTTTGAAGAGGCGAGCAATTCTAAGCAGGTACCACAAAGAGCTCCAAAACATTTAAATTCAAGTGACGTCAGATTTCTGGGGCACACAATTACCCCCAAAATATTCATTTTCATAAGGATTCAGTGGCATCACCATCGGTACCACTAGGGAAAGTAAGCGGCCTTAGGTCCTTAGGCCCCGGGGGTCCCGAGTGACCATTTGGGCCGTAGAGGCCGACAATCAAGGCTCTGATTAGAAAGCGCGAGGGGCAGATCTGGGGCATATGAAGGGGCCCGTCAGAAGGCCAGGCCCTCAAAAAGCAGTCGGAGGACCTCCTGCACTGATCGGAGGCCTCTGAGACAGTGCGGGTCTCTATGCCGCGAATGCTGAACAGTCTGTTCCGCGCCGTCCGTGGCCCTGTGGCCGCTTTCCCAAGTAGGGGCAGGGCTGGGCCTGCAAATGGTTATCAGACACCCCTTGCATTGGTCGGGCTCCCAAAGCAGTGAAGGGTCCCTGTGCTGATCAAGGGTTCACAGGGGACCTCATGCCAGCGATGGACCCCAGTCGGCCAGGAGCACATTGGTTAGCCAGGGACAGGAGCGGGCACCCGAATGTCAAAATTCGTCTTGCGTTGTTCAGGACCCTGGTGACAGTGGAAGGAGACGTGAGAAAGACCCTGGTGACGGTGGAAGGAGCCGTGAGAAGGACCCTGGTGACAGTGGAAGGAGACGTGAGAAGGACCCTGGTGACAGTGGAAGGAGCCGTGAGAAGGACCCTGGTGACGGTGGAAGGAGCCGTGAGAAGGACCCTGGTGACGGTGGAAGGAGACGTGAGAAGGGGCGCCTGATCGGGCGCCTTTGCGTGGCATCCACCAAGTATTCAGCCGCTTCTCACTGTTAGCATTGATATATGGGCTCAGACCAGACTTAGGAGAAAGCCAGGCTCATTACGCGGGTGATGGTTACGGACCAATCTGTGATTTTTGTACGCTGACAAACTTAACCCTGGCGGGTGGTGTAAGGAGAAAGAGAGAGAGAGAGAGAGAGAGAGAGAGAGAGAGAGAGAGAGAGAGAGAGAAGAGAGAGAGAGAGAGAGAGAGAGAGAGAGAGGGAGAGAGAGAGAGAGAGAGAGAGAGAGAGAGAGAGAGAGAGAGAGAGAGAGAGAGAGAGAGAGAGAGAGAGAGAGAGAGAGAGAGAGAGAGAGAGAGAGAAGAGGAGAGAGAGAGAGAGAGAGAGAGAGAGAGAGAGAGAGAGAGAGAGAGAAGAGAGAGAGAGAACTGGGGCAGATAACAAGGCGTCATTCATCACCAAGTTTCAGGGAGCAGCTAATGCAGCTATGAGGAGACACAGGCATGGCGCGCAGAGTAAGAGTAAAGCGTCCATCGACCGGAAAGACGCGGCGTGTCCATATGGTTCGCCGTCCTGCGGCCGTGCTGTTTTTCCTGGCACGGGCTCGAGCCGGCGCGGCTTTGCGACCGATCCTGTGAGGAATTCTGAGGAGTCGCCAAGAGCTGTCACCCGCGAGGTCCGGGTCCAGGCTAGGGATGGGCAGCGGCCACCGCGCTCTAAGTCGGTCGCCCGAGGCGGAGTCAGCATTTTTCCTCATTGGGACGTCCTGTAGATGTCGACGGAGTGATGCTTGGACAGGCGTTGTCCTTGACACTCCAAAAAACCGCGCTTTTGAAGTATCCTCTTATATTGCAATTTGCTTGTCACGCTGACGTAACTTTTACAAACGCGCGCCCTTTTGCCGGCATGTACAGTCTGATAGAGATATTCAGCCATCTTATTTTCTTGAATACGGACAACTTGGCTTACTTTGATTGTGGTTATCTATAAGTTGGAGTTTGCATGAGTGTTTTGTCTTAAGGCCAGGGGCGTTTTCACATGGCAGCCTCTGGCTGTGCGTGCCACTCCCTTGTCAGATTTGTTAAGTGCATTAGTATGAACGCCAATCAATTCTGACGCAAAAATAATCGGAAACACGTTAAGAATATAAAGATCGATAACACGCGATGCGGTTTAATCTGATGCAACAAATTGTGTGCGCCTGTAGTGCGCTGAAGTGGGTTTGCAGCGGACAAAATTGACTTGTTCCTCCTTGCGAAATGTTCAGTGCGCCCCGCTCTAGACCCGTAACCAAGCATTCCGACCTGCAGTTCATATGCAGCATGTGTTGGAGAATTAATCCATTCGCGTGGTATCCGGGTGATATTTGATTTCATGCCAAACCCTCATCATTGTAACAGACGACCCATTCAGATGTGCTACCCTGATCGCCCGTCTGCTCTTCGTTTTGCTCTGTCTAACTGGGCGGAGTGGGGCGCGAGTCGCCCGCCTGGCGAGACGTGAGTCCGTCGCGGGTCTCCTGTCTGACTGGGTGGAGTCCGTCGCGAGCCTCCCTTCTGGTGGGATGTGAATCCGTTGCGGACTACCCGTCCGGCGGGAGGTGAGTCCGTCGCGGGTCTCCTGTCTGACGGGGCGGAGTCCGTCGCGAGCCGCCCTTCTGGTGGGATGTGAATCCGTTGCGGACCACCCGTCCGGCGGGACGTGAGTCCGTCGCGGGTCTCCTGTCGGACTGGGCAGAGTCCGTCGCGAGCCGCCCTTCTGGTGGGATGTGAATCCGTTGGGGACCACCCGTCCGGCGGGACGTGAGTCCATCGTGGGCCGCCTGTCTGGCGGGACGTGCGGTCCGGGCCGAGCGGCTCTGGAGCTG